ATCCCTTACGATGCTTATTTTACTGTTTGGGCGGATCTACATGTCGACATTCTCACATCGGCTCAATTAACACTGATTGTAAGTTGAGGCACGATCCAAGAGCGGCTGAATCGTGACACTAATCGACCTTCTTCAGGGACACCTTAACGATCTCACTAGCTGGAACCAATCGCACGTTTTGTTCCGTAACAAGGGCTCTATACAAGCAGGTTTGCATATGGAAGCCCAAGCGACCGTGCGCTTCTCAACTGGATCAGTTGAGCTATTTGGCATGCAAAATTTTGGAGGCACGTTCACCGTCCCCGGTATAGTGACCATCGGACCAAACTTTAGAGTTCTTGGAGTATGTGTTCCTTCTCCTGGATTTCCCCTTTGGACAAATGGAAAATGCTAACCTTGAGTAGCAACTGACCGGAGTCTTTACTGCACATACGTGAGTCAGCTTACAAACATCCCAAGACAAGATTAGTGGCTGACCATTGACAATGATATAGCCAAGCTCATTACAACATGGACGTGCTGTCCTGGGATTATTCGCAGCGCTATCCTAATCCTGATAACGACGTGTTATCTGGGCTTACTGACAACACAGAAAATCCTAAAGATCCCGGGATAGATGATGATCCTGACAAGCCGAGCAATTTCACCGCAGACGTTACCGTAAATGGTGACATTACCCTACAAATGTAAGCCATACAAGATTGAGCGGCCACTAGGGCATCACGACTAATTACTAGCCAGAACTCCGTTGGTGGAATTTGGAGTCCGCTTCAATCCCAAGTACAAAGCTACCGACACAACAATCTCGCTGCAGCTCAATACCCATGCGACACTTTACGGAAGCGCTGGTGTTGGCACGGATACTGCAGCGAGTGTTTGTTATGGTGCTCTCGCTGGTGCTGAGCTCTTTGCTCAAGTGCAAGCTCCGTAAGTTCCCATTAAGAATCGAATGTTTATGCAGGCCTGAAACTGATGAAACTACGTGATAGATCCATTCTTGGCGTCAATCCCAATAGGCGATGGAGCTTCTATAAGCAAGATGTAGGTTCATCTAACAAAACACTTTACAAAAGACAACTATTTGCTGACAAATTATCTTTGAAGGTCGACATTCTCGAACAGAAATGTTATGGGCTTAAAGATTTCTTCCCCTCTGATTGCCCAGACTGTGATTGAACCTTGGAGAGGGGGTTGTGAAGTACATTGTATAAATACGAGATCGAAATAAAATTATATATTAATCCTTCTCAATAGTCTCTGGTAGCGAGGTGAGATTGAGGTACTGTTTGCAGATTTCCCTGTTTGGCATTCTGCCATTAAGGACAAAATTTGCTACGGTGGTAGCATGTCTATGTAATTGATCCACCAATTCATTATCGATGTAGACCAACGAATGTTGCTCATGAGAATGCAGGGTCAGGTCCCTTGGCAAGTCCAATATAAGTTTCCATCTGCATTCGCCACCACTCGACATTCTCCCGATTGCCCATGAAAGTGATGTATCCGCTGGGTTGAGTATTGTTTGCCATGAACACATTGTTTGTGCCAGTCAGAGAAGTTCGAATAGATGGGCCTCCCGACGCTGAAAGAGTTGACTGCCATTCAGTGCTCAACAAGAAAGACAAAAACAGCTTTGAGCTCTCTGGGCGAGGTGTTGAAGCAAAGATAGCCGCCTGTTGAGCCCAGGTCATGAACTGGTCCGGTGCATCAGGTTGACGGACTTGGAGGAAAGAAGTGGATGGTGTAAACCCGCCCAGCGCAGAAAAGGTCAAAACTCTCGAACCCTTGCCGGACGAATGGTTATCGATGATGGCACCGGTGGCGGCTGCAGCACCACGCACCCACATGACATCTTGCTTCAGAAGCGAGTCCAACCACTTGAAGCCATACCGCTCAATGATGAGAGAAAACAAATACAGAACACCATCATCGTCGTTGGGATAAGTAAGAACCAGTTTGCTCTTCCAGTAAGGGTCTAGAATATCGGCATATGTCTTGGGCACCCGATTTGCGGGTACAATCGTCGAGTCGTAGTAGAATGGACCAAATTGATCTAGAGAGAAAAAACAATATTAGCACCAGTTACCGGATTCTTATAATAGTAAGGATACGCACTATAGTTGACAGGGAGATATGCTCCATCAATATGTTTAATAGCCAGGTTTATGTCACTGAAATTAGGCGGCTTGTAATGCAAAAGGCGTTGCTGCTTATCCCATCGAGGAAAGTCGTGTACCGTTTGCAACAATGCAACGTCGATGAAAGGCTTCCCTTCTATGTAGCTCCGATCAATGCGTGAGTCGGCATATTTCGACAAATCTGCGGTAATATTGATGGCGACATCGGGAAATTGTTTGCGGAATGCAGTTAGCATCGGAGCAGCAGCCGCTTGTGCTATGGCTAGTTAGTGGCAATTCTCAACTCTGGAGAAGAAATGCAATGCAATCTTACAGCTGCCGCCAAAGTACACATTCAAGGTGCCGCTTTCATGCTTTGCACTCTGGTAAATTTCATCCAAAGATCTCGTCTCGATTTCTGTGCCATATGCAAGAACCTGGCTCGCGGAGAAAAGGCAGGCACCCAGAAGAGCAGACTGAACCTGTTTGAAGGACGGCATTATAAATTATAGATAGATAGAATAAGAGATGAATATATACTCTTGACGATTTAATTGCGCTGGATGATACCTCCTACATGTATATGGCGATAGTATTTATATTCAACATCGTCCGAGGACATCGGATTCCATACGAAGCACGAGCCACATGGCATAGATGTGTAAGAAATTATTAAAGGCCTCCTTTACTTCAAGTTTGTCATCTATTCCTGTAACACGCCAGTTTGTTCCCGCAATTGCCGCATAAACTATTAATAACTGTTCTATCTATAGGCAACACAGGTCAATATGCTGCCGCATTATCCGCCCTGGCTCTTTATAAAAATTATATAAGCTTATACTCCCCATAGAAATAGGGCACTAGCCATGTAGATTGTACAACTGAAAGCAGCTATAACTTGCGCATAGTATCTAATTCTCAAGGAACGCTTGAGTTGGCAAGGGTATGTATTCTTTGATTACAAATGCTGGGCATTCCACCAGGGGCTTGTTGGTGCCATTGTGGGTTATCGTCACATACATACGCGTCATTTCAACATCGGATGTAAATAACATCCGGACCTTGGTATATGACGGCGATCATTGGAGAGCTATATCCTGAAATCGATATCCAATTGGTAGCAATAGAACTGATTGAACCATAAAATCTGCTAACAGAAGTATTCTGTCATAGAAGTTGGGCAGTCTTCTACCAGAGAATGAGATGGTTTGCCCCTTGCATATTGTCAGCCAGGGCTGCCGGATACAACTACCGATAGCTGACTAGTTGGTGACTGGTGGCAGTTCGGCAGTAATGCCTAAATACGTTTAAACTCGTTATGGAATAGACGCAATAGGAAGCAGAATGTCAGCTCGCCCGACGCGTAATCTTATCAGATCTTACCCTGCTCCACAAGCGTAAAAAGGACATTCACCTAACGTTTGAGGATCAAATGCCGAAATGTGCTACTGCTCATTCAAGTAGCTTACGATCTGCTAGTTTATTCTGCGCTCAGGGGGCAAGTCTCAATTGATCCCATACTTCTGTAGTTCTAGTTCAGGAACTACTCCGTAGGAGTAGCCCAATTACATATAACCAAGTACATGTATATCTGGAGGTGGTCATGTGTAAACTAAGGATTCATTTAGGTCGCATAGTGGAAGTGTGTAAATTATCCTTATAGACTAGGTACTTGACAAACATCTCTATGTTCTTCCACAGATAATATCCCCTTGTCCTTCCTCATGCTTTTCTTTGAACACCGCCTTTCACAACCGGACTCAGGAAGAGCTGCAACTTACTTATTTCAATGCCCAGCACGTTAGACATAATAAGCATCGAGGATTCGGGCTCATTGACATCAAAACCATACCTTAATAGACCATAAACAATCATAATATACTGTCTTATAGAGTGTATGGTCATAAACTCGAGTCATCAATTGTCTTTCCATCACAATGGGCCTAATTTCTGATGAGATGCTTGGGTACGGTCCCATAGCAATTGGCAGCCGACATTAAGATTTTCTCTCCGCCTCTATCACGCTTCCCTTGGGATCCTTACATCTGATACTTTGTATTCAAAGAACTTTACATTTGTAGCATTTGTTAAAGCCTATATAACAAATATAAAACTAATATTTCTAAGGTGGAGGGGTTGAGGGAGGTTTTTATTGCGTCTAAGGGCAGGACTAAGACTGGCCGCTATCCCTCCATTTGAGACACCCAGATCCAGACCTTGCGAACCAACATCCGAGAAACAAGCAATGGGATCTATATCCTTCTCCCCTATCCCCACGGCCTACGATCGGGTGCACCACGCCAATCGGCTAGCAGCCCGTGGCAAAAAAGACGAAATCAGAACGGCAGAGCAAATTGAGAAGAGACAATTGAAAATCAGCTACGCCGGGAGCAAAAGGATAAGAGATAATTAAAATTAGCACAGCAGAGACAAAGTATAAGAGACAGTTAAAATTAGCACGGCCGACGCAAGGGGGAAGAGTGTAATTATCACGGCACGGCAGAAGCAAAGGAGAAGAGACAATTGACATGAGCACGGCACGGCAGAGGGAAAAGAAAAAAAAAACAATAATTAAACTCGGCACGGCAGAGGTAAGAAAAGAAAAGAAAAATAATTGAACTCAGCACGGCAGAGGCAAAAGGAGAACGATGGAAGATAAGATGCGCAGACAGGTAGTACGCTTGGCACTGCGGCTGATAGAGGTAGCCGTTGGTTCCTGCCTAGTTATCTAGATACTTTTCGAAGCTCCTATCCACATATGTATACACTTATATGTACATTTGTACGGCCCAGACTTACTTGATGATACCTACTAGGTATGGACATGTTCGTACCTGGAATATATATAGTAGGTACATGTAGGTAGTCTTATTACCTTTTTCCATGGCTACTGCCACTACTACACAGACTACGGATCTCTCAGGTGCCCAGTGCACCACCTTGACATACATCGGGCACATAAAAGAGGCTGGACTATCCTCCTACTGGACCGAGTTTTCTCCAGTCCCAAGTACTGCATCAAAAAGCTCTCAAATATGGTTTCAAAGGCATACGCCAGGCTTATAGACTTCTTGAAATCTACAAGGCACAAGCTCAGGCTTCGGACGAATCAGACTGGGAATTGTCTTACATCGCCAAACCAACGGTGCGACACGAATCTTCTGACAGCGGACCCCTTGACATCAACTCCGACTGTCGAACTACTGGCCTTGAATCCGAAACATCAGATCACTCGGAGAAATGCAAGCCGTCGCTTTGGGATCGCGCATACGATAGCCTTAAGAAAACGGACGGACAGCTAGTTGAAGATTATGAAAAGTTGCTCTCTATGGAGTTTCAAACAAACACGGGTCAGAAACTTAGTATTCCGATGACGCTTCCAAGTTCCACAGCTAATCAAGACCACAGTCAAACCAATTGGCCCTCATGACAATCTTCATGAACTACTGATTACAGCTGAAAATCGAATCAATAGCACGAACCATAATGAGGGCCTAAAGCAACTGGAGACAATCACCACTCGCGGGCTTGAACAATTGGAAAATAGGAGGACTAAATATACTATATTCGGTCACGAGTTCACTCTACGCAACCAGGTAGCGCACGCTACTCAGTTTATACAAAAACCCCGAAATGCCATCCATGAGGCTGTCAAGGTACCACCTTATACCTACCTGGCGTGGGCTGGTTTCTGCCTCATCCTACCTACCTTCATGAATCCCGATATTGCAGAAGAGGCGAGTCGCGACGGTCACTTGTACGTCACCTCTCGCATGCAATTCTACGTCAAATTGGAATCGCTATTATTACCAAGCGATAGATTGCAGGCTTCTGGTTTAAGTGCCGAGCTTGAGGACCGTCTCATAGAACTTTACAGACAAATCATTGAATTTCGGTTGAAAGTCGTGCGGCGTGTCTATTTAACACGACTTGTCCGATTTAAAGAAGACGCCGTACAGCATGAAGATTGGAAGGGCATGGTGGCCAAAATCCGAGAATCAGAAAAGATACTTAGCGATGACGCCAAGCAAGCCAACGATGCTGCCATGGGAAGGGAGTTGGAGAAAATTAGCAACAACGCGGAGAGGTTTTACACAGATATCACATCTATTCTGGCCCCTTTGCTCAGAGATAGTCGCAAGACCTCAGCTGTCACCTTTATGAACAATGGTTCAGGCAGTCAATACAACGCAACAACAGGAGGGGTTCAGAATATTGCGAAGGGCAACCGTACGAACTTCTCTGGGGTAACCTTTACAGGGGCTGTAAATATTAATTAGGTTCAAGTTTGTATATAAAAATGAGACTGGATACCGCAGGTTCATATACATCGAAAGGGCACAGGCTCAAATATCGCTAATCATAACTGCCCGTCCCTGAAATTGTTGAAGATTGTTAAAAGGCATCAATATTTTCTCTTCCAATTCATCGTATTCAAAGCATTCAACAAATTCTTCAAACCTTAATAACGATTTCCACTGTTCACTTGTGACACTAGGCGCAACAAGACATCAAGTAAGATCGGTGTAACGCCAATAAGATTTAGGCATTTCGGCCTTTATCTCAGTGTCCGTGGGCTGTTGAGTTTGGAAATGTCCCAAGACCTCTTTAATCAGACCAAGCCTACGGCCTGCTTTATAGAAGGTCTCTCCAAGCGTGTGATCTTCTTTAACTTCGTCATGGTACTTTATAGCTACCGCCACAATATCGTTTATCTGTTTGATAGTCGGGTTGGTATCCGTCATCCTTGTAAAACTGAGGCAGCTAGACAAAGTAGACAATCACTTTACACCTACTTTGTGTGTAAAAAGTTCAAAAATTCGACGATGCTGGGGACCGCTAATTGCCTCACGTACATAACTCTGTAGGTGCCTTACCTGCTTGTATTCTTTGATACCCAACTATGGGTAGAACATGCACATCGTCCTCAACAAGTCGAAAATTAGGACATATTTCCGAGGTCGTACAGAGTAGACCCATTCCAATACCATTCGTCCCCTGCCTCGTATCAAGCCTTATAGACTCACGATGGCCCACATTCTTACGGATTCAGCCGTAATTAGTTAAGCGTCTTTTCAGTTACTTTGAAGAAAATTTGATTTCATGCCCATCCAGCGATAAATAGGCAGAAGTATATGGGCGATATCATCCCTACCTTAGGTAGTATATATCAGTTGGATCTACTTGTCCTCTGTATCTGCTCTGTATTTTTCCATATCAATATGTCGCGTCTATATAAAAGCACAAGTCGTTATTCTCATCGGTCTCCTGCATGGATGGAACGTTATCCATGTCCTTTTAGAAAACACCTGATGCTTACATGTATTTGCGCCTTCATACCTACCTCTAGGCCCAGGTAGCTGGTTTTCTTAGAAGCCCGGGCCCGGTTTTATCTTTGCAGTCACTGGACCACAAATTTAATGGATTTCTTACACCGCAATGCACGTGTAACCTTGAATTAAAAAAAAAGTTCCAATCTTAGTGGGGGGGAACACTTCTGGATCCCTCAAAGTCCAATCTCGACGAGACACGCGTCACATCCAAGGACATACGCGTCGAACCGAAGCTATTCACATCCCAGATTAGAACATTGACTACCGTTATCATGGAGGAGCTGTTTGGGCGCCAATTCCAGTCACCGGAAGAGGCCCGGGCCGCCATTGACGCTGTCGCCCAGCCCCTTGGCTACAACTTTGTCAAACACCGAGTGAGGCCCAATAGCATCGAATTCCGCTGCAGCAAGGGACGAACCTACAAGGCTCAGAGAGATGCCAATGTCCCTGCTGCGAAGCGCCGTGAGACGAGCTCGCAGATGACGGGCTGCCCGTACCGGCTTGTCGTGGGTCGGCAGCATGTCTTGGCTCCTTGGATCATTCGCCGCACTCGTGGCGAAAAGTCCACTGAGCACAACCATCCAATGTTTCCCTCATCGGCGCATTCGCGATATCGGAACAAGGCCCTTGAAAAGAAAATGGACAAGGTCATGTCTTATTACGAGCTCGGGCTCAGACCTATCCAGATTCTCGGTCAACTCCAAAGTGAACATGAAAACGACCCGGAATTGCAAGGTTTAACACGTCATGATATTTACAACGCAATACGGAAGCATCGTCAGCAAGAAGAACTTGATAAGCCTACAGAAAAAGAATAATTCTATTATAAGCGCCAAGTTTCTATTTCTCTATATTAGATGAGAATTATCGGCTGTAAAAGTCAGCCCAGTCGCCCAACCCAGCTAAGCGCAGTCCGGATCGCGACAGATCTGGAGAATGTTGCTCTTGTTCTCTCCATGATCGCTCACGCAGCCAGAGGCTATGAACGGGCTCCGCTTGCAGCCCACAGATTCTTAAACGCGCTGCTCTCCTGTTGAACCAATTCGCGGGGACGTCCAGTCTCCACGATTTGCCCACGATCCATGACAAGCACGCGATCAAAATCCATTACGGCATCCAATCGGTGGGATATCATTATTGTGGTGTATTCCGCAAATTCCTGGCTGATGAGAGCGTGCATCGTGCGCTCTGTATCTTTATCCACAGAGGAACCCACCTCATCCAATAGTAACAGGCCACCAATGTCGCCGCCCTTCTCAAAGAGGCTGTTTGGGTATTCATCTGCGTCAAAGGTTTGGGAACGAGCAGCACTGCTGCGAATGCGTCGTCGAAGGATTGCTCGAGCCAAGCCAAACAACTGCCTCTGGCCATGGGAGAGCATGTTGGTAGACAGGCTGGAGTCTAACCCACCATTGTCTACAACGACCTGCCAAAGTCCCACTGCACCAAGTACCTCTTTGCAATCGCTCTCAGTCGATAGATTGGTTGGATCGAGGTTTGTTTTGAAAGAGTGGCCGTCTGGAAAGAAGACAGAATCCTGTGGCACAGCGATTACGCGTTCTCGCAGCGAGGAGCGCTTGACTCGGCGCAACGGTATGCCATCAATGGTTATTCCATCAGCAGACCCAGCCAAGGGATCAAACAGGCGAAGCAGCAGGAGGAATAGGGAGGATTTACCACTATTGTTCTGATTAGCAACTCAAATATTAGGGTTAAAGCATATCAAAATAGACTGGCTCACCTTCCACTGCGTCCGCAAATAGCGACCTTCTCACCAGGCGTAATGCTCATGTCAATATTTTTCAAGACCAAATCTGCAGGGTCTATACCCGAGTTTCCTGACTCTGTTGGCTGATCAGGGACACTGTTCCTAGCTATATTAGCATTTCTGAACCTCAATGAACCAAATTGCACTGCAATCCGCAAGTTTGACGTACCTATATGAAGCTGAGACATCCTGAATATCCACAGCTCCACGCCATGGCCATAGCAAAGGCAATTCCGCGTCCTCTTCGGGGGTACTCTCCGGCAACACCGTGTCGTGGAAGGATTTTAGCCGGCTCACAGCTCCGAGAGATATCTCCACCATAGTATACATGACAATCAGATGCGAGATGAAGTTTCCGAGTGACATTAGCGTCACCATTGAAGCTCCGGTTAATCCAGGACCTGTGACCGCCTTGACTTGGGTGGTTAGAACCACCACCAACGTGGCTACCGCTGTGACAACAGAGGAAAGAATGAAGGTGAGGCAGTGCTGAACCATGGCGAGGAGATATGCGGGGCGTTGAGAGTTGTCTAGGAGTTTCAGATTGAAATCAAGGCTCTCCTGTGACCAGCCGAAGGCACGGAGAGTTGCCACGCCAGCAACCGTGTCTGTAAAGTGTGTACTAGGAATGGGTTAGCTTGGCTGGCTTCCATGATGGGAAGAACTGGCCGATAAATATTGGACGACGCAGCTTGCTTGGACTTACTATAGGGGGGCTTTTGTTTCCAAATCCAACAAACGAAGCTGTCGAGAGGTGGGCAGATAGAGCTTCTGAACCAACCACATCAGTGCAGCGAAGAAGGGGTAACTGGCGGCGATGTAAGGTGAGGCTGTCGCAACAACCACAGCCATTCCGATCAAAATGAATAATTCTACCGTGGCATTAAGAAGGGACTGCGGGAGCTCCATATCTATAAGCGAAATATCTTGGGAGAAGAGATTGATCACAATGCCAGCATCTACGTTTGTGAAGAACCGCAGAGGGGCACCAATAACAGCCCGTAGTGTCTGATGATGAAGAGTAATGCCGGACTGGGCCGTCATGAAGATGAAAACAAGGAGGCAGATCAGACCGATGAACGTCAGACTGAGAAGGAGAAATAAAGCATAGATGCCTATCCAGTATGCCTGAGAGTGAGCCCTGGGAGAAGAAGCCAAGTCGACAGACCAAAAGTTCAGCCAGACCTGCGGGAAATTGTAAAAGACTGCCAATGCTACACAAGCCAGTAGGAACGATATAAGTGTAACTCGCTTCATACTCATAGCATAGTGTTTATACACGGCCATGTCTCCGGTCTGCCTGCTGCGCTCATCTGCTGCAGCCCACATTGGTGGCGGAGGCTTCCGTGTTTTAGAGCGCGTCAAGTTCTCGTCGTTTTCTTCGCTAGGAGGATCATTCGAAGAGTCCAAAGTCACGTCGTCCGTAGATTTATTGGCAGAGTGTACTTTCATACTGTTCACATACCCGCCAAGAGCGTCGAGGTCATGAAAAGTCCCCTGTTCGGCTATCATTCCCTCTTGACTGAGTGCAATAATGTGGTCTGCAGACGGCAAATGTCGTACAGAGTGCGTAGACAAAATCGCCGTTGCGTTTCGTCGGCGAATGAGACCGCCGGGAGCGAAAACCCTTCGAAACACTTGCTCCTCAGTATCGGCATCCAAACCACTGAGCGTATCGTCGAAGATGAATAGGTTGGAATTCGAGTATAGAGCGCGTGCCATTGATACTCTCTGTTTTTGCCCACCACTCAACGTTACACCGCCGCTTCCTATCTTTGTACGGTCGCCTTGTGGGAATGTGGCAAGATCCGGAAGAAGCATCGTTGCCTCAAGGACTTCATTGTATCTGGTTTGATCAAACGGAACATAACCAAGAATGTTGTCTCTCACAGTTTCGTTGGTGAGAAAAGCAGTTTGGTCGCAATAGCCGATGCCACGGGTTTCGGGTCCTATGAGAACACGGCCGCTGTGAAAAGGAGTCTCGCCCAGCAGAACTTTGAGTAGGGTTGACTTTCCACAAGCGATGGGCCCAATCACAATGGTAAGAGACCGAGCAGGAATTTCGAGAGCAATGTTGGACAAGATGGATTTATCCTCCTCCCAACCAAAGTCTCCTTTGGTAATTCGGATAAGGGTCTCGCTCTTTTCACTGGATTCGGCATCCACGCCATCTGATGCGCCGAGACTCTCACGAAAGTCTTCACGAGGGTCCCGCTCAAGGAAAGTTTGAATACGTGAAACGCAAGAAAAAGCAGCCAGTAGTGGAGGAACATATTGAAGCAGCTGAGATAGAGGGTCCGTCAACAGGACTATAAACGACAACGCGGTGAAGATTCGAGTGGCATCAAGAGCCTTTCCTGTCACGGCAAATGTTATGAAGGGGCTAATCATGGACGGAGCGAAACCAATGATGGCCGCCATGATCATGGTCATCCGCCAACTGGAGCCAGCGCCAACTTCGGTCTCACGGAGACGCTGGAGCAGTGACTCGGCCGCGTCCGTCAAGCCGGCTATTTTGAAGGTTTTCATGTTTGTGACGATGTGGGAGAGGGCGCCAACCCTTTCTTGAACCTTTTGCATCCAAATATTTTGCCTTGGGCCGCTGAGACGACCTACGACTGAGATGAAAGCGATGCAGGTGAAACAAACAACAACAGGCGCGACAAAGGCGGCGCCAAGTTCTCGGTATAATAACCACAGTGCAATGCCACTTTCGAGGACACTGGCCCAGAACTCGTGGATAAATGTGAAGCCAAGTCTGGCACGCTCGATATCCGTGCTCATCAGCGTCAGCACGGCGGAGTCGCTGGTCACTGAGAGTTTGGATCGCATCGTATGCTCGTAGACGACGCTTGCTAGGGCACCGCGCATCATCCAAAGAGATCGTTCACGCAGATAATAATAAAACGACGTTGAGAGAGCAATGCCCGAGTACACAAGGAACACAGCCCCAATCAAGCCATAGCCAGAGTTGACAGGTCTCTCAGATGCAGGTATCTCAAGATAGGATAGCAGCGAGTTGGTGAGAAACGGCTGGCCGAATTTAAAAGCCGAAAGGGCTATTCTTGGCACAACGGGGAATAAAAAAGGTCCTGCTAATGACTTGGCAAGGGCTTTGGCAAGTCCATTCTTCTGGCCTCGAGCTGGGGATTTCTCTATAGCCGCTTGAAGTTTTCTTCTCAAAACATCACTAGACATGTGGTGGTCGAGATGGAATAGATCATCCAAGCTCAACACCTTTCTGCGGCCTAGGATAAAGAGTTTCCAAAGCCAGCTGAAGACGGCCAGCCCCCAGAATCCCGTTGTCTCTTCTGGGCTGTGACTGCCTGTGCCCCATAGAATCCATCTCGTCTTTGGATATGACTCTGTTAAAAAGATGGCGGCCTTCAGGGCGACCGAGGCCGTGAAGACGCCTGCAAACGCATCTTCGGAGCGAGTCACAGCCACTAGCCAAAATGACCTAGCTCGTGCAATGTCGAAGAGCAGAGAAAGAGTCAAGTAGACGCTTAATAGGAAGGACGGCCGTCGAGATCGAGCACGTTCCGAAAAAGAGACGGGAAGTAGCAGTGCGCTGGCGATGACCTCTATTGTAGCAGATGATATGAAGAGAGCAGCTTGCTCGCCCCGCCAAAGGATGCTCAAGATAAACGAGGTGAAGCGTAGCGCGACATACGGCGCAATAATACCCTAACACATATTCTATTTAGCGTGTTACTTCGGAATTTTTGACTTGATTCAATTGGTACGTAGGATTGGCTACACATACAAGTTTTGCAAGCTGGAATACACGGCCTTTTGCAATGACGGGCTCCCGCCTCAGCCAAACGAGACGAATAACGGCAAGCAGAATAAAAACCGCTGCAGGAAGGATAGAAAAAAATATGGATTCAAATTTCAGGGTAAAATCGAAGTCTCTACGACGACAACTGTGAACCGAAGGCCCAAAGGAAGCGTCATCTGGGCAGCCTGAGTAGTCCATTGCCCTCCAAGAGTGAGAGTGCCTCCACCGCCTTGCCAACTATCCGACAACGTAATATGTGTCGGATCTCAGTGGAGTTTTATATTCTGATTGAAAAGCTCTGACCGGGTACAGTAACACGTGATGGCGCATGTCTCCAGTGAATGTCTCGGGCTGGCATCATCGGTTTGGCGGTAGGAATGCTGGTTTTGCGCGGCCTAACAACTCATATCTATCGTTGAACGAAGACACGACACCAATGGGAGCAGACATACATATTGGAAGCGTGTAGATTATCGTTGTTAGTCTGGAGGAATTATAAGCGGAGAAGATATTAGACACTAGGACGTAAGAAGCGGCCAAATCAAGGCCGAAATGTGTGGTCATCATTCTAACAAAAGTTCCGGGTTTTTTCTCTATGCCTCATATGACTCGTAGGCCGGCAAGCCGCGTACTCGTACTACCCGGATCTGTTCCCCAGATTAGGCTGTTGGAAAAAAACGCTGTTTCTGTGCGAGCTAGACATCAAAGTCTGACCAACAGGTTTTTCCACCCAGCCAAGCAGTGACCGCGAATCCTTTCGTCGCAAGCAGTAGAACATTGGCTAACGTCTGCTCCACATCGCAATGGTCACAAAAACGACAGCAAATAAGGAGACGCGGCCGGGAACACCGTGCGCGTGGATGTGACGCATACCTCTGACGACACCTTGATAAACCTTTGTTGCCTCTATACTTTGAAGAGGAGGCAATGGTAGTTTTAGGCATCCTTTTGACAAACGCAACATTTATGCCCCTCAATTCGTCACTTCTCCTAGAATCACTTCAAACGAAAAAGATAGTTACGCATTCATTCGTTACAAGCCACCTGGAGCCCTTTATAACTCCCTCATTACAGAAGGCTACAGGTTTTGGGTGATTATTAGGTGCAATTGCTTGAGGCTGGCATTATCCAGCTACTCCATGAGCCCCTTCCGTGGCGACTTGAAGCCATTCTATAAGGTGGAGATATGGCACAAAACGGCGCACGTAGGAGTTCAGTCACAAGTCTATAACTATATATGAAGAATTGTAGCTAGCCACGACGAGAGTCAATAACAGGAGAACGTCTCTAGAGCAAATTTTATGGTTACGGATACCATATCCTCAGGCCCCAGATGACCCGGTGGCTTTGCTAGCGGCCGTGTTGCATCTAGATCCCGTAACGGCTCCAGATCCGGACCTGGAGGCTGGGACTTCTCCACTATTCTCGGCATGTCACGATATCACCAAAGAACATCACTTGGGCTACCTTGTATTGATCCCAAATTGACTATACGATTCAACATACGATTCAATAGGTAGTTACTAGTACATATTCTTTTCAGAGAAATTCAACCATGTAGAATTGCAGCGTGAATATGAGCCTTGTAATGCATTCCAGGTTTTGTTTTCCACCACCTCTGGCTCACTTGCCGTTCACATTTCGCTGCCCTCCGTTTGCTCAATTTCCACCGATGGAAATTTCTCACTTTGCGTTCGCTTGTTTCTCCGCACCCATGAAATATTCTTCGTTTGAATTATTTCTTTTTCAATCTTTCTCTCTCAACTTCTTCATTTTCTTCCATGTTTGTTCAGACGGATCATCATGGATCCTCAGACACCAAAGTCGCATCGCCGTCGACGTAGCTCGATGTCATCGGGCCAGCCCTCGTCCCAACCTAATACGCCAGAAAGAAGGTCGACAGTGAAGAAGTGGAAAGAAGGAATTCCGGTTTTTGAAACTGGTCAGCATCCAGAATCCAGTCTCCCATTTTCGTTCGGCGTTGAATTTGAGCTTCAGCTCCGTGTAAAGAATGGTACTGGGCTGGATATTGGCAACTACCCTGCTGCAGAAGCGTCCTTTTCGGTTATGCGGCGTTATAACTTCAGTCTTCTTGAGTCCATCGCCGAGATACTGACGCAAGAGGGAATGGATGCTGTGAGGCATGATATGTCGAGCGACGACCCGCTGGATTATTCGAAATGGAACGTTGTGCTCGATGGATCCCTTTCCAAAGCCCATATGAAAGATGGCTACTGTGAGTTCCAGTTCCATGAAGGAGATACGTTTCCATCTAATAATATTGTGATACAGATCTAGTCGAGATTGTTACTCCGGTCATACTTGGCGATGACCAATGGGCTTCGAAGATCGACAAATTTTGGGCCGTTCTGCTCTCAAAATTCCAAGTATTACTGGACACTACCAGCGGTACACATATCCACATCTCATGGGCACACGGCCATCACTCAATGGATGAGCTTCGGAAGATATCAAAAGCAATAGTGTTCTAGGAGCCTGCTACTGCCCGATGTTGCCCCCCTTCCCGGCAAGATAAAGCCACGCCATTCTGCCTCAGCAATCTGAAGTCGCCTATCCTGAATGACATTTTCAGGCAGCATGGACCAGTGCGCGCTCTGCCTTTCATATTCAATATGATCGACCAAACCCCCCGTGACGAACTCATTCGTTTAGTTTGTCCTGATAAATACCGCGCATGGAATCTTCTGCCAGCGAGAGAAGGGAAGGCTGGCTCGATTGAATTTCGCCGTCCACCGGGTGTATCCACTGCCAAAAAAGCCAAGCATTGGATCGCGTTTACAATGTCATTTATCTACTTGGCAATTCGAGCGAATCCTTCTCACCTATCATCCAGAGTAGATGAGAGCATCGACCTGGACGCTATACGCCATCCAGACTTTTTGGAGGATTTACTTCGTTGCGCAAGACAGTTGGATGTATTTGCCCACCTGGATCCACGATTGATTCAGGTAGATGATGTGAGCAGACTTCACATCACGATGGCACAACCGGAGAGTGTGGCGTGGCTGAGAAGCCTCAATTTAGGTTACAACCTGGAGAACTTTCGTTGAATTGACCATGGCTGCTAGGTAATTGGCGGCGCTAAGAAACCTTGGAATGGTATAGCTACATACCTAGATAGATAAGCAGATAGATTATATCAGTCTACTGACTCAATGCTTAATGATTCACGTACATGTACACAGATGCGGTGGCTGGCGTTTGCCCGTTTGCTGGGCGGAAGTTTGCTGGAGTGGCTTCAATCATTGTTCATTGTGGTAATTTCTTCCGTTTGGCACGTGAACGTACATATATTTAGGTGACTCGATTCACCCACCCCATTCCCTCCTCGCATCTGCACCCTTCAAAAAAAAAAATCCTTCCAGAGACGCTTTTTTCAACTAACAATCACAACATCTCGGGCCAACCCCAAAGGGTGCTTCATCTAGGGCGCATCTATAATGGATTTCCTTGCGGCCTGTGAAGATCTTGCTGCCAACGTTGCAGCATTTGACTTTGTTGACGATCCCTCCGATGTCTCTGAATCCGATCGGTCAATGTGGCAGGCTCTCTTTGATCTCTCCTCCGACGAAGCTGTCGAAGCCATTCGAAACTGGAGGGCTGACTTCGCTCGCCCGACGCTCTCGCAGGCAGCATGGCTCATGGTCAAAGATGCCAAAACCGCTGAGGGATTCAACAAAGAGTCATACGAATATAGCATATTCAAAGAACAAGAGTCTCGCAAGAAATCACGCGAATCAAGCAGTGGCACAGTGGCCGCGAACGGGGGTGCGCAGTATCTTCTCAAGCTAGAAGTGGAAGCTACCAACACGGAAATACTCTACCGACTACCCAAGAAACCGAAAATTCTCACAGGCCTCGACGATGACGGTAACACAACCAAATTCTGCTTGTTATCCGGTACAGAGAAGTCCGAGCTCTTGAAGGGTCCGCCGAAAACACGCCAGCCAACCTTCATCCGCGTATCCATTGCACAGAAGGCTCTATCTTCAACATCTCTCTATCCAACACTTGGATTTGACACCACTATGCCGCAGTTTCGACCTGCCAATTCGCCTTTGCCTCCTCCGTTAGCTCGACCAGGACAAGACGAGTATCCAGTCTGGTACTTTTTTTATGGCACTCTTGCCGATGCCGACATCCTCTCACGCATCATAGGCCTTGGCAAAAAGGACGGAGAAACTCAGGTCGAATACAAACGAGCCCGCATTCACCGCGGTAAACTCTCTACATGGGGGGGAAAGTATCTGGCTTTAGTAGATGCGGACGAAGATTCCACGGTGGACGGATGTGCCTATCAGGTGAAGGACCAGAATCAAGAGGATTCGCTCCGGGTGTATGAGACAGGAAAATATGAGGTGGTCCGGTGCACCATGGAATTGTTGGAGGGAGATGGGGGTTTCCTTCAGGGACTCACTTTCAGGCTCGCCTAGTCGTATGCTCTCGGCCACCTACCTCGACATACAGAGTAAATGCGGCTCTACCCTCCCTTATCTCATTCTAGAGTTTGTGCCTGGTATGAAGCCTGCCAGCAAAGGTTGTTTTTTTTTGTGGGAATTGGGAATGGCTGTGAAGGTCATAATAGCGCCTTCACACAAGGTTTCGGGATTGAAATCGTTGTATACGGCAGCAGAAAACCCAGCACAGAGTATTTAGACAATCCATAAAGCAAGCACATGGCCAGAAGACCTTCATTCAAACATCTCATTCGTGGATCTACCTCCTACTACATGTGACGGTACCTACCTGTACAGAATCCATCCGACCTTAAGATGTGTGCACCTAGAAGTATCTGCTACTCCGCCTCCTAGATTGATACCTCCTACTACTGCCTACCTAGGCGGTAAGTCTCGTCCCCACGTCCAGTACTATGTAGTAGATATAATCTCTACTACCTAGTACTTATTGGTATCAGGTAGTAGGTCTAGTAGGCAGCAGTACCTGCAGATATCTAAATGTGGCGTATGTCGCTTGAAGATGGGAGGTGAATATGAGGCCCATTCACTCCAACATTTTCCCAGATTTCTGTGCGTTCTATGATCAATGCAAAGATCAGCCCCTCTGACAATAATTATTAAAAAGAAAAGAGATACCTAGGTAGTAAGTTTACTAAGATTAATGGCATTTTCTACCATTGTAAGAGGAAAGATCTCTCGCCGATTATGTGTTTTTTCGCGGCAGGCTCGTCGCAGCGCCCCAGAATTGGTTCCTCCAATAAGAGCAAAACCGTCCCACCATTTGGTGTCGGCTTCACACTAGCCGCAGAACTTCCCCAGATTTAGAACCGCCACCCAAATTCTGCGATCGCGATACCGCAGCCCCTCAATTATTTTCACATCTTCAACTCTCGCCTTGCTTCTCTGCTCTCTTTTCTCCATATCTTCACACATCACCACCACCTTCGCCATGCCTCGAAAATTCTCAATCCCAACCTCCTCCTCCAACCTCTCCCTCTCCTCCTCGCCAACCGGCACTCCCATCACACCGACCTTCAGCTCCACGCCGTCAGGCCTCTCATTCGCAACTTCGGCACCAACAACTCCCTCTCCCTTTCCACGCCTCGATCTCCCCTCTTCAATATGCGATCCCTCGATACCGTTCCCTCGCCTCATCGTCTTCGATCTCGACTACACGCTCTGGTCGTTTTGGGTCGATACACATGTCACGCCTCCGCTGAAGATCAACCCTGCGCATACCGGCGCAACAGACCGCACGGGCGAGGAATTCGAGTTCTACAGCGACGTTCCCGAGATCCTCGCCGTTTTGCCATATCTCAACCATCCCAACAAGATCAAGCTGGGCGTCGCATCGCGCACCAGCGCCCCTGCTTTAGCCCGCGAACTGCTCAAGGGAATCCACATCCCACCTACGGCGTCGTTTGCAGAGGATGACGGCAATAACAAGAAGGCGGCGGGGAGGAAGAAGGTTTCGATCGATGTGTTTGACGGTGGACTGGAGATATACCCGGGGAGCAAAATCAAGCACTTTGAGGCCCTGCAGAAGCGGACGGGGATCCGGTTTGAGGATATGCTGTTTTTCGATGACGAGCCGAGGAATAGGGAGACGGAGAGGTTGGGACTGACGATGAAGCTGGTCCCGGATGGCGTGTCGTGGGAGGAGATTGGCAAGGGGATCGAGCTGTGGAGGAGCAGAAGGTTTCCGCAACAACAAAGGCATAAAGATGGAGAACAGGCATAGACGACAGCATACAGGTAGAGACTTTGTTTTTTTTTTTTTTTTTTTTTTTTTCAGCACATAGAGCGTGTCTTGGATACACCGCAGAATTAGATATTCAGGACCCATTTAGAGCAAGATACAGCATTGAGCAATCAGGTAAAGATTCATAGACAATGATATCCATAAAACAGATCCTATAAGCATTATTCATGCCATGTCCGTATATATAAAGCAAAAATATAAGCACAACTATTCTCCGAAGATATTTGGTATATTCCAAGTCCAATTATATTCCCAACCCGGACAAAATACTCCAATTTCCAAATCTCATCTCTCGTTCTTATCTCGTCCAATTTCTCCTCCTCTTCTCCAGTTAGCAAACAGAATCACCAATGCGAAATAAAACATCTCCCGGTACCCTTTCCCAACAATATATAACTCGAAAAATTGACGCGGGAGTATGGAGAAAGAGGCATTCTGTATATGCAATAAATCCAATGGCTCTAACCATATATAGAAAAAGAAATTAATGAAACAGGGTATGATATGCATTTTCGCCGTTTGTTTTTTGTATTATGTGGTCGTTTTTATGCAGCGGCGGTGGCAGCAGCCATGGGAGTGACCTCAGTCGCCTTGGTATCAGCCTTTTCGTCAATCTTCAGCTTCTCGATGGCTTCGGCGGGTCCGTCGGTCTGGGTAGCATCGTCAAGGGTGTCTTCCGATGTCTGGGTGCCCTCAGAAGCGTCGTTGATCGTCGTGGCGGCGGTGATCGTGGTGGTGGCAGCTGAGCTCTCCGTGGCAGTCGACTCGTCTGAAGATTTCTCGGCCGGGCCGAAAGTCCTGGGCAGCGAGCAGATGATTTCTCGTTTCGTCTTGCCGTTCTCCGCGCCGAGACGGACACACGCCAGTCTGTCCTCGCCCGGCACGTCCTCCCAGAGCAGCGGCCCGCTGGGGAACGAGTTGTATCCCTTCTCCCACCGGATGACGCCGTCCCACGCGGGGTCGGGGATTCCCAGCTGGCCAAACGTGTAGTCGAGCTCGCCGCCGTACTTCTTGGGGATGTTTCTGGGTTCGATGAAGGCCTCGAGGGTGGGCTTGACCTCGTGGGGCGCAAGCACGAAGATCTTGGAAACCGTGATGGGGTCAAACCAGCGCTTAACCCAGCCCCAGACGGTGCTGAAGAAGATGGGCGCGCCAATGATGAAGATGCGGTCAAGTGTCTCCGGATAATGCGCCGTGGCCAGCTGCGAGGCGGCCTGCATGTGGCCTTTGAGGTTCCAGAACTGCTTGAGGCCGACACCGGAGATGTCGACAATGTTGGTGCTCATGGTGACGGGCACGTCGGCGTGGTCGCGATCCGTCAGCTGCGTGCAAAAGGGTTGGTTGAAGCGCGTCAGGTTCTCGTAGAGGGCGAAGAGACGCAGCAGGCCGGGAGCGGTCTTGCCATCCGTCTTGGCCTGTGAAAAGGTGCTGTTGGCGCCCTGCTTCTCATAGTTGGCGATAGTTTTGGAGTCGAGTTGGCGGATCTCGAAGACGTAAAGGGGGATGCCGCGGCGGTCACGGCGGCCGGTCCATTGGGGATACTATATAATGACATATGGTCAGTATACACTCTTGAATAAATCAAGATTTCAAGATATCAGAAGACTCACCAAGCGCCGGCTCTGCTCGTACGCATCCAGCTCAATGGTCCGGTACAGCGTGTCGATGTTGTTCGCCGCCCGCCATTCCTCGGTGTCCTTGAACTGGCCAAACGCATCCTCCACAACCCACCGTCTCGCGCGCAGATACCGCAACAACGTCTGGTCATCGTGAGACGCCGGAGGGCCAGGACGCCACAGGCCCTTTTCCTGTAGCAGCGCCTTGAACCGCTCCAGTGCCTCCTCCTGCTGAGCAGTCAGATGGCCCAAGTGACCGTGCGGAAACATCCCCGCCTGTTGGCTGGCAGTCGAGCCCGAGGACAGAACTCGGCCCGCGGGGGCGGAACCTTCATAATCGGTCGTCATGATAAGTCTTTTGGTTCGGGTTCTCTATTCCACCACGTCGAGAAAGAAAGAAAGCAGGAGTCACAAGAGACAAACAATGTAACCCGACCGAAAGGCTATATGTAGATACGCGCTGTTGGCTGCACAATAGGAGCGAATGTGGTAATCTCGGTTCCGGAAGTAAGAAAAAAAAAGAAAAAAATCACAAAAAATAGCGTTTTCTGAGTGAGGATCCTAGTTCCAGCGCCCAGGCCAAAGACAAAGTCCGCAAGGCACACCCAACAAGGCGGTTAAAAGGGGGGCTGACGGAGTACAAGAAGAAAAAGCCAGCGCCTTATTAGTCCACAGCTGCGAGGATTCAGACTGCAGAAGAGCAGCTGTCCGGATGGTTAAATGGGTGTGTGTGTGTGGAGAAGGCCAAGAAGACAGATCCAAGTGACGGCAACGGCACCTTCGGAGGCCGATAGGATGCCGTGCTAGGAGGATCGGGCAGGGGAAAAGGGGGGCGGTTGGTTGGCAGCCGTGCGTTCCAAGGGCGAATAAAACCTGTCTCGTGCCCAATGACTAGATTACGAGACACCGGGCGGTTGTCATGATGCGAAGAGACGGCGATGCTTACACTTGGGCCGACTTTTACAAAGCGCCGGGCGGGAAGGGGTCTGGTGTTTGTTATATCATCGCGCATGCGGCGATGACCAGGATGGAATTAGAATTACTGGCGATTACTAAGAGCACTAATCCCAAAATCCAGATCCCAACATGTTGGTAAACTCCAAAAGATTCCGACTAGGCGCGAGGTTTGTGAGCGCTTCCGTAAGGGACCCTCTCCGTGTCCGTGGCGGCGAACCTGTGACGGCAATGACAGCCATGTGGGCTTACAGTATTTATTTCCTTTCTCATCGCCGGCGGTCCATGTGCAAATACTATACGGTTATACGTTTTATACTATGTAATATACTATATATATCCCGGCGCCGTGGTTGTGCGGAAGCCTCGGAAGGAAGCAAATTTCCGGCTCGCCCGACCAGCTGCTTATCGATCGATCACAGAACTTGGCCCAGCAAGCCGGTTATGGGCCATGCAACTCAATCTGGGGGGATCAATCAAGTTGCTGGAGATGCCGCAACTGCCACGGCAATTTCAAACCTAAAATCCGTGTCAGACCGGAGCCACGAGCCACGAGGGGAGGCGAACAATTGCTGCCATTAAGCTCTCGGAAGGCCGTCCATCTGACCTCCGTCATCTCCATGTGTCCAGATTACATGTAAATGCCATTGGTTCAAGGACTCTCGTAGCGGCAAGCCCGCCAAGTGTGGCCTAATCCCATGGACGCCAGTTGTCTGTCAGCCGGGACAAAGAGGAGGAGAAGAGCGTCCGAGCTTATGGCTTGTTCGGAAGAGGCAGATATGATGTACTGGACAAAGCTAGAGTCATGCAGCTCCAGAGATCTTCTTGCTCAAATCCCAGCAAATCGCGTCAACGGCTCTAGGGTAAGTGGGATGAATTCCAGTGCTCTTTTTGTCAGCAAGGCGTCTTTGGCGCTGTTCTTGGAGGTTCGCCGATTTGCCACAGCTCTCGCCCGCCGAGGTTTGAAATATGACGTTGTGTCAAAGGATTTGCTCTTTGGCCATTAACCCAATATAGGGCATTTAGGGGTCTCATCAATTTGCCCTCCAGTGATGAGCAGCAGCTGATTCGCATCCGGCTGCAAGCAAGGCACGTGTCCATCCTGGGATGAATGTGTTGCCCCTGCTGCAGCGCTCATTTGGATACAACTGTGAGAGGATATCCGGCTTTCTGCGGTTTCTTTCTTCTCTCTCTATTCATCTTCTCGTTCCCCTTCATGTCGCACAGAAAGAAAAACAGCGATCTGAGATGCTAACCCAATGGGGTCGTGACAGGACCAACTTACTGTAGCCTTTCAAACTGTCTCGAATGGCATGAACCTGCTCTCCTGGTCTCCCACGCTAAACAACGCCCCCCTTCGATCCCTTGGTCTAGCCCTGTCAAAAGAATCCCATTCACTAGCTGCTCCGTACTTTGTGCAAAGTTTAACAGATGCAGATAAGATGGCGCAGAAGACCCCCAATCAGGCTTCAACATTTGCTTCTCTCAACTGACAACCCCTCGGTAGCGCAATGCACTCAATGCCACACCCATCCCTTTGTCTCCCGACTTCTTTCCCCGTCTTTTTGTCAAATCGACCGAGCAAAGAGACCTATCTCCCCCCACTGTGACTGAACGGCACCCTGCATAGCCGTCGGTCCGATCATACACCGGGCAGATGAGAGGAAGCTGGCCTATGAGTTGACAGCCAACTTAGCGTCGATCCGCCGTAGCGCTTCCGTGGGTTAACGGCACTCGGCTGCTCTGGTTTAGCGTGTGGGAGAGAGACCAGATCGGGGCGGGTGCATCTGGAGGCCGTTGAGTGAGTGGGTTTTTGAGTGCTAGAGCTGGATGAGGGCATTGGTGATGCCACTGCTGCTGCTGCATGTCCTCGGAGCGCTGAACAAACATGTAGTTGACAGTTTCAATGTTCTTTGGTGAGTCGTACGAGTGGTAAGACCAAGTCTAAGAGAAAAGCACAAAGAGACATAGTCTGATATTGTTCAATGCTCCATGTAAGCTTGCCTTTCACTAGCAATGCACTGCGCCATGGGGCTCGGCCAAAGGGGGGGAATTCCATCATCTTCATTGGCCACGCAGCTGACGAAGGAATCTCTGTGAGAGGCGCCTTGGGGGCTTTTTCTCTCTTTGTTCCTTGGAGTGTTCCTTAGAATGCTTACAGTAGCATCGCGTATCTGATCGGAGAATCTATTTAGAGATTTGCCTTTTATCACCCGACCGGTCTTTTTATGGAGAGGTATTTGCCAGCCAGCACTCAAGATTAATCGTGATAAACAGCAGATATCAGGAGAGCCAGCAGTAACAACAGAACACTGGGAAAAAATAATGATAGCACATGGTATTGACAGCTGTGCTAGTATTGTAGCAGCCGCGGAACAAGAACTAGGGGGCGCTTAGGCCTGAAGGGTAAAAAGGTTGATTTGATTCGATGACTCTAAAGAGCCAGCAGAAAGGTGGGATGGCCGCTCCCGAGTGATAGCATCATAGCCTACATGCACGGCGTACCATCGTTCGTTTATCGTTTATCCCATCTCCCTGACCCTGATTCTATCCATCTTCTCTTGCCTATTCCGTGTTTGCTCTTGTGACTGCTCATTCTCTTCTTCATCATCGGTCTTCAAGACTTCCGTGTCGCTGTTGATTTGTCCCGAGTTACTTGTGTTTGTCTGATCCAAAGATTGCCCCGTAGAAGCGCCTTTGCCCCCCCGTCCCCCTTGTCTTTTCGTCTCCCCTGACCATTCCAACTAATTACCTGACTTGGACAGAAACCAACCCGCAAGTGATCTTAGCACCTGGGGCTAAGCAGACGCCACACCCCGCGACAATCATCTTGTATCGAATCTGCAAAAGCATCTGCTACATAAGACTCCCAACGTCTAGCTGTCTGGACAAAACAAAACAAGACAATTTTTTAGAATACAGCGAGATCTTCGCTCTCTCCCATCTCCCCGCCTCTCCGGGCGTCACAGCATGCGGCGGCCAAGATGACCTCGAAAAGGCCGCAATGCTGGGAGTGTCAACGCCGCGATTCGCCGTGCGACGGCAGGATTCCGATCTGCGGCAACTGCAGCGACGCCGGCATGGTCTGTCCTGGCTACAACAACGCCAGGCCGCTCACGTGGCTGCCCACGGGCAAAGTATCGCGGCTTCAGAAGCAAAAGGTCAAGAGCCGAAGCGCGGCGCCAGCGACAAACAGGCGCTTCAAGCAGAGCCCAGCAGCTTTGACGGCTCGAGCATCGTCGACGCCGGAACGGGGCGCCTCGGCTTCGGTGGCGAGCACGCCGCCGAGGGCGCGGAGAAGGAAGGGCAGCAGCAGCACTAACAGCAATACTATCAAGGATGGTAAAGCCAAAGCCAACAGCAGCATTAGCGACACCAACGGTCCCAATACTAGCAGCAGCGGCAGCGATCGGAGCAGCGATGCCGGCACCATCTCGGAGGCGTCTCCGGGCGACTCGACCTCGAGCCTGGTGGCGGCCACCAAGAAGACGGGCATTCGCAGCGACGATGGCCATCGCGAGGACCGGAACGAGGATGGATTGCTCAAGGAAAAGGACTCGCAGCTTCAGCTCGTTGCCAGCAGGGCGCAATTCGGCTCTGCCAGCAGTTCCAGTTCCAGGCAAATCCATGTGGCGCACATCCCGCCAGATCTGCGGCCAGAGCAGTGGGATTTCGTAGATGCGATCCAATACTGTACGTTGCCATTTCTACTATTTAACTTTGCATTTTGTCTTCAATTTCTCCCTCTTCTAGCTTAACCCAGGCCTTGCCACTGGCCGATGACCCCTGCTGCCCTCTTGTACATCATTATTGTGTATCCCCGTATAAGTCTCGCTGTTGTCTGACATCGAAGCTTGCTTTCAGATAACAATCTGCTACTGCCAAAGATGCGTGCAAGGCAGATTGTCCAGAATCCCGCCTGGGGAGGCGAGCTGAGCGGTGAAGCTCTCCAATCTCTCACGGCCGCAAACCGCCACTGCATTCTAGCTATAGCCGTTGGGTACCGCATCATGTGCGTGTCCATCATCCACGGCTTGGATCTGGAGCCGTCGACTTCGGGCCCGGCGTCTCACCTATGGCAGGAATTCTACCGCCACATCGGCAAATCTATCCGGGCCCTCAACGATGAGATTCAACAAAGCTACCCGGGGAACGTCTTCAACATATTCTCCAGCATGGCCCACTTGATGAGCGCAGAGGTGAGACCTAGAGAGAGGGTCCTTGACTTGACTTGACGATGATGAACTGACTGCTTATGTTTGCTTACCTTTAGGTTCTCGTCTCTAATTCGTTGTCATGGCGCCTTCACGCCGATGGCTACCTTATGTTGATCAAACATTGCGGGGGGCTAAGGAAGCTGATGGACTCGTCCACCACACCGTTGTTGATGCAGAGCTTTGTCATGTAAGTTAATCCGCCTGATATCGACGAGTTTCATGCTAACCATTCGGTTTCACTCAGTGGCATCACCGTCTTCAACACCACCAGCCCTAGCCACTCGCAGATGGTCGATGCCTGCAACTTTGACGTTGACGATGTCATGGCCCTATATGAAATCGGCAGCACCCCGTTATTCTACTGTCCCGCGCCCCTGTTTAGAGAAATATTCCTCATCAACCGCCTCAGGCTAGATGCTGCAGTTTCCGACGGCTCCTCTGAGCCTAGTCTCTGTGATATACTTCAGCGAGTCGACATGTATTCCGTCCCGCTCATGAACGACTCCATAGACGAGACGAAAGCCAACGCTCTGCTCTTCATCTCGCTTCTTTTCAAATCCTCAGTGGCTGTCTTTGCCGCCCTGACGTTACCTTGTACCTCGCAGTGCTCATCTTCCAGGCCGTGTGCAGACTTACAAAAGGTTCACCGAGCCAACCTCTTCCATCTTCTCGATACTACGGCCGAATTCCTACCGCTGCTTGATCATATCCTGTGGCCTGTGGTAGTGGCTGGCACTGCCGCCGCGACAGGAACCGTCGAAAACCAGATGCTGGTGGAAATGTACCTGCTGAATGGCGTGCGAGATCCCTTCACTGGGGGCTGTACCGGCGCTGCGTTGGCGACAATGAGGAAGTTCTGGGCCTCGGGCAAGACGGAGTGGGATGAGTGCTTTGATCAGCCACATGCGTGGATGATATAACATTTACAAGCAGTTCAACCCCAACTACGGCTACTTATATCGAGATTGAACGGATGGCTTCGACAGTTGAGGCTTAACAGATGCTCACGATACCTGTACTCAACGATGACATTGACGTTTACTTTGATTGATAGAAATACGTTTTTTCACCTGGCTATACCGGTGTTTCCAACTCACAAGATATAGTTTCCCGAAATCATCTACATCCAGCCAAGGGGCTTGTTGCATTTTACGGACAAACAAAAAAGAGGAGAAACTCGAAAGAAAAGAAATTATAATAATATGTCCATAAGAATCATTAGAGTGTTCTTCATTCTATTCGAAAACTTGAAAGGGGAGCGGAATATTTGCAGCAGATGCGGCTGATTACGACTTAATGCGAGCGTGGCGGCCGATCTGTTTTTTTTTTTTTTTTTTTTGTTCATTTCTTTGTTATTAGTAAAGGAAAAGCGCGTTTTGATGGGAAATATCTGGTCTTCGCATGTACACGTTCTGCACTTAGACAACGTCGCATATTATAATGAGAATCGTCTAAAGGATGAAACCTTTCATGTCACGATACGACGTTTGACAATCACAATAACCTTGAAGAATGAAATCCCTCCCATGATGGTATAAAAGCCGCTGCTATACTCTGCTCCCTAAACCATATACCCGTATTTTTCCTCCCGCATTCCATGCCGTCCATCAAAAAAACAAACAAATCCGTCGTGTTCCCTCTTGGCGTTTATGTACTCCATTTCAGTGTCCTAGCTCTTCTTCTCGCCCTCATCCAAGTCTTCTCCAGACGGTCCGCTGCGCTTCAAACCTTCCAGGTCTTTGTCGGTGTCCGCACCCTCGCCCTGAGTCTGGGTTACTGTTCCGTCAACGCTCTTGATGCTGCTGGCCCTGCTTATGTCTGCACTGAGAGGGCTTTGTTGCCGCAATCCAAGATCTGGAGGATTTGGATTATCTGTCCCTTTCCAATCCGCCGCCTTAGTTTGCGGCACTGGTTCGCCCTCTTTGGGCTCGACAACCTCCTCTTCCGCCTTGGGCTCGCCACTGTCGGCGAATCTCCACACGACCGACATGCGGTCAAAAGCTCTTATTCCCTTTCTGCTGGATCCTTTGACTCCATCCATGGCATCCCATTCGATTTCAAAGACGCCGTTGCTGTCAGCCTTGCCTTGCTTCTCAGGGCCATTCCCCTCGAAAAACACATTGAACCACACATAAGCAACGGCCGTGACCATTGTCAATCCCATCGATTTGTGGGTTCTATTTCGCCGTTCAACGGCAATGTTGACATCGCTGTTGGGGATGCGGATGGGCTCTTTCGGCTTGAAGATGACGGCCATGCCACCAGGCTCGGCTTCATCGAGGCTCTCCGTGCGGACTTCGGACGGGGAGGAGGCTGTCGGCGAGGTTGGTTCTGCAGTGAGCAAGGCTCGGAACTTGTCGATTTTGGAGTGCGACCCAGGCGGTGATACCCTTTCTATCAGCTTGGCGCTCTTTCGTCGCAACAGCTGCTCTATCGACGATTCTGAAGGCTGCGGCGAGGGTGAGGGAGGAGGGTCGAAAGCCAAGGAATCCTTCTTCTTGGACTCATCACTCGATTCTTTCTTCTTGAGCTCGTCGCTCGAATCCTTCTTCTTGGAATCATTGTTGGTTGCGTCCGCAAACTCCACCGCTTCAGGGACCTTGTCTTTTTGGGTTGAGTAACCCGCAAGATCCCATATTATCTCAGACAGACCACCGCCTTCGGGCGCATCTCCTTCGACCACGACCCTTTCGTCTTTTGTGAAACTGTGTACAGTCTCAATCTTCTTGCCTTCATCTGCAAAGGCGTCGACATCCATCTTCACGCCGTTGCGCAGTCCCCATACGTGGATCTCTACGATCTCGACCGGACGATCTGTGTATTTCTTCCCGCCCTTTGTCCAGCGGTCAACGTAGCCAATCCACCGCAGTTGCGAGGGAATCGACACGCCGGCGCCAAATTGAGGCCTCATGCGACGCTGAGTGAAGCGCGTCAGAGCATCTTCCGCCTTCCAGCCTTCCTCTGCAATGAGGTAACTGCAGCTGGCAGTGCCACTTCTGCCTTTGCCCGCCTTGCAGTGAACCACCACGACCCTCTTCTTGTTCCTCTCGGGCTTGGCTGGCTCCGAAAGAGTCTTTGAAACAGCCTCGATATTCTCTTCATTCGGCGGATAGGAAGACTGCGACTGGGGCTTCTTGTCGTTCTCCGCGTGCGCATCAGATGCCTCCCCACCATGAAGCCAATTCCGCATGCTTGCCATGATCAAGGGAATCAGCCTAAATGGCGGGGGATGATGGTCGGGCCATGGATAGTGCCATATCCGATTGTAGACGGCTTCGTCTGGGTATCCCGTCCCCTCGGCGCGGAATTCCCAAATCGCCCAGTCTTCGCCGTGTTTTGAGTCGAGAAAACTAACAAGCTGGTCGAGAGGAGTTCGGTAGGCTATCTGAGGGTACGTCTGCGAAGGACCGGATCTGGGATATGCACAGCCATGGTTAGAGGCTTTGTCGAAGATGAATGACGCTTTAAGCTGGACACGATGGATCGTGTTCACTCACGTTGCAATGATAAAGTCCGTCACATAGCAAAGGTCCAGCCCAGCCTCTGGATGCCGCGCGCGCGGACCTGCAACAATCTGCCGCAGTAACGAGGCCATGATCGTGTGTGTGTTGGAAGAAAGAGGCTGGGAAGAGAAGAGAAGGCTGAGAAGAAGCTGGTCGGAGGCCGTAGAGACTCGGGCAGCGTTTCTTTGAGGCTCTGTCCCCGTGAGACGGATGGTCAAATCCACTGCCGATCAATGCAAAAACAACATCAAATGGAAAGGAAACAATAGCTAGAGTCGTGACGTTGTGGCGATGCAAGGCCCAAAGCTTGTGTCAGGCTGCTGCATTGTGATCACCCAAACACCAGACAAGAATCGACCTCAGCCCGAATTCAATTGCTGACACTACTGTACAGTGGAGGCCCCGCGCACATGGCGATAGGGATAGTGGCGTTACTTCAGTGGGTTCTGGTGCCTGTACCATGGCGGCTAGCGAGCATCTCAGGCGACGTCATCAGCTGGACTGCTGCCCCACGATAGCAACTCAGCTCAAGCTGTTAGTGCCACAGTAGCGTCACCAGAATGGATGACATCAAGACTGGCAATGACATCAACATCAGCATTCACGTTAAGAAAAAAAAAGTGAAGCAATTCGCGATACAATATACTATAGAAGATAGTGCTAAAACCAGAACACCACATCACAGTGTGATATTGACTTGCAATTGACATCTCCAAGCTTAGACGTCTTCCTCTGAGCTCTTCAGCTTTTTGACAAGGGATCCAAACACACACGTAGTAGTATTTTGATACTCTGTAATGTCGAGAGCTTGACTCAACATCAGCTTCCACAACCGCCATTAGAAAATTCCCACCGCGCGCCAATTCCATGTCCCGCTCCTACGTCCATGTTGTCCATCCAGATATACCCAGGAGAAGCAATTCGCTGCACCGGTTCCCAATAACTACCCGTAGGCGGTGGAGATTCACCGCCCAGTTGGCCGACCATAGTTCCAATACTCGAAAGGAAATGCTGTAAGATACTCGACTCCAGTTGAGCAAAGGTCCAGCATTGCAAGTTTGCGGAAATCAAGTTTCGTCGAGACCCAAAAGTCGCAAGCGGCAAGCGAGCCTTGGCCAAAGTAACGCGACCAGTTGCCCCAAGTGGGTTGCTGGTTCGCCCGTAAAAGGAACGAAATAGTACCAGGATTACCAAATTCCAATTCCATTAACTATACAAGCCCCGCACATAGCATGCTCAAGGCTCTTCGCTCTGTTATCCGAGTTTGTCGCCGTGCACATGTAAAAAAGATGCGTTTGTTGTTTATGACGTCTTCTTGGCAGGGCCAGCGCCAACGTACTTGCTCACCTCCGTAACATCGTGGAACTTGATGGTAATGCCCTTGATAACGTCCCAGGCTTGCTTGAGCTGAGGTGGGGTTCCCTGGGCTCCGACAAAGTGATCGGCCCGCGCGTTGACGTGGGCAAAGGCCGACTGGACGTGGCTGCTCTGGGCGTAGCGAGCTCGGACGAAGACGGTATACAGGCCAAGCAAAATCCACGACCTACGCTGGAAAAGGATGGCTGAGAGCAACACTCGAACCCACAGGGCAATCTCGAGGTAGGCGACAACGGTCATAGAGAAGTCGTAGTACTCCTTGACAAAGTTTCCGATCTTATCGGCCAACGGGTTGCTAACCTTGGGTCGAGAGACGCCATCGGCAGCAACTGGAGGGGGGCTGAAGACAGGGATCAGGTTGGCGCGAGAGTAGGTGGCCACATGGAAGATGGAGTAGACAGAATAAGGGAGCAGGGCGAGGGGGTACTGGGGAGAGAAGAGCCAGACGAGGGCCATGACTAGTGAACTGTTAGTCGAGAAATACAGTACCCCACGCAAGCAGCGCGACGAGTCTAGGTGGGCATCTGGGCTTACCCAGGTACTGGACGTTCTCGTCAGCAAGGAGGCCGAGGGTACCATTAGGCGCTTTGGTTCCGGTCTTTGCACGAGCTCGCTGCGTCTTGTAGACAACGATTCCATAAGTCAGAGCGGCGGCGGCAAATGATGTCCGGTATGAGAACTGTGCCATGCGGCTATAGTAGTTCATGAACAGCCATGAAAGGGCGTATCGGGAGGTGGTAAGGATAAGAGTCAGGTGCCTGAGATGGACGAAATGTCAGTCGTGTGTCTCATGTCATGTTGTGGTTCTACCAATAGTTTTCCCTCCCCCTAGTCCACGCTGTATCCCCCCTGTGATGTATGAAAATTCTTGCTCGTCGTCATCGTCGGGTATCAGCGGAACGCGTGGAAGAGGCCAGGCATGGTCCGAAGGCGGGATAGGGTCGAGGTAGAGCTTGAAGTAAGGCTCTTTCAGGGACTGGTAGGAAGCTTACCCGACAAACCAGGCGACTATGGAAACAAAAGGATTCGGGTTAGCAAATATGCACGTGCAAACTCGGCACAAAGGGAAAAAAAACATTCGAGTCTGAAGAACATACACTGAAGCGTCTGAGCTAGAGCCAAGAAGCGCTCCTGTAGCGGGAGATTCGCGTTTGGCGGAGGAGGAGCCATAGTGTCGTATGAATTGCTGTCGCCAGCTGAGGGGGTCGTGACGTTAGGCAAACGGCAGCGATGACGATGAAGCTTCAAGATGGCGCTCAAGAAGCTGGTTTGCTAGTGATGAGGGGTAGCTTCGGAAGAGCCAAACAAAGGCGAGATGCTGGGCAACGATGCGGGACAAGATGTTTTCGAGGTCGAATTAACCGTGTGTGATGTACGAGCGCAGTAGAACAAGCAGAAGAACAGACTGATGCAGTTGGAAGAAGATGAAGCAGATGGGAAGAAAAGAAAACGGAGGGAAGAAGAAGGAAGCCAGCTTGTTTGGCTAGTGGCTGGTGTGGAGTTCTATTGGCTTCCAAGGTGGCAGAAGAAAAATAAATAAGTGGATGCCGTCACTGATAGTGGTCTGAACACGTTCTTGGATCTTTGATATCAGCTGTGATGGATTGAGGCCAGCTTTCATTATGACTTGAAGCTGGTTTTGCTGCCTGGTGAGCTCTTTTTGCTTGTTTCTTTATCTCTTTGCAAGGCCACGAGTGCAGCTAGAGCTGAGCATGTGCTTCGTTGGTTGATGGAAATGACGCTGTCTTATGACCCAAAGGCTGAGATTAGTCATCTTAAATCATTCATATCGATTTATTTCGCTTGGATTTCATCTGATCTTTAGCCTACCTACTACAAGACGCCCTTTCTCATGCTTCTCTTCAATTTTGTATTGATGCGTCTCGATATTCATCAACATCTGCATCATCTTGCATGTGAATGTGAATGATAATTTCCACCCGGCCAGCATTCCAAGGGACTCACTAGCACGGGTTAATGCTCCGATCTGCCGGCTATGATGAGTGATGACGACAAGAGGAGACGTAGCCAATGACGAATGGCACAATCTGGGGTTTCCTTTTGGCCACCTAAACTCTGGAGCTGTTTTCGTTCTCCCGTCGACTAACTGCTAGTCCATCCCCACGCCCCCAAGCCTAAAGCTCCAGATCGTCGTCTGCTAACAAGATGCCATGGAAACCTCAGCTCGTGGCATGTGGGATGAACATGGAAGAGCACCCCGATTAAGCCGAAATTTGCGGCAGCTCCAGGGTCGAAAATCATAGCGAAAGAGTATTATAGCCTTTGAGCTGGCCGAAGAAAGATAATAATGGAAGATGAATGCCCTTGATCTAGGGAATATTAGAAGTGTCCAGCGACTTCAAATCCGGCATAGTAAGATGCTGAGAAAATACCCGCCTGCTTCTACGTGTATTCTCGCGACTACTATTTAGAGATCTCTTTAGGTAACATCAGTCTGCTAATATAAAAAAAATATGAGACAAGGAGTTAAGGCTGAGTAGCTCATAACTACTCTTTATGCTTATATTGATGACATCAATGAAGATGCCACCACTGTAACTCATGATGGAACGATACGAATATGGCCACCGCACTTCAGCTTCCACATATCATTCCAAAGGCATTTGATGCCTAATGACTAGCATCGAGACTACTTCTCATCTATTGATTATAGATTCATTCTGATTTGTGAGTGTGTTGTAGCTCGGATTTTCCAGGCTCCAGGGTAGGTTACAGATGTCTGGTGACATGGAATCTTTATATTCAGCCACGGGCTACTTACTGCTGTAAAAACTCCTTACGTAAAGTATGTCTCGTATTAAAAACCTATGAATACATTCAGTACTTCATTGAAAATTTCTCTGTAGGATTTAATGAAACATAACATCAATGAACGCTCTCACACATGCGAATGGTGACTTGGTTCATGCCCTCGTAGCCGCTCTGTCAAGCTGAGACGTCTTCTCATCTATGACGCCTAACTACCTATGCACTTCTATCGAAACTCTCCGAGACATTCTTATGACTAGTCGCTTTTCTGAAAAGTCCTTTTTTTTCCAAATCCCTCTGTGCGGTTATGTTGGCGTAAAATAGAACGCGAGCCCCCCTGTGGGCGACGATATTATAACCATGGTGGTAAAAACTACGCTGATCGACATATATACTCTTCTACACTTTAATTCTCCCTTACATGACACATTATATCCTCCATACGAAGCATGGACTCCCTGATTGAAGACAGCTAATCTGGGCCCAACCAGAGGTTGTCTCCCTTTTTATTTTGGTGGAATACTCTACGGCATCCCTTGCATATATGCACTTAATTTGGGTTGCCCCTCAAGCCACTCCTTCGACGTGGAGATTACCCACTGGCCTGAAGGAAGACATGTAAAAGAAAGGATGCGGATGAGACAGCTGAGCATTCCACACAAAACACACTCGCACGTGTTACTTAGAACATACTCGCGTATTCCCGAATCAATGTTGACTTTGGAATTGATCACGGCATCTCACTCTTAAGCCTGTAGGTTGGCCTGCTATCCATGTTTCTTAACATGAGATGATGATCATAGCATATAATACTTTCTCTCTCTATTGAGCAGCTGGTGATGGAGATAGATTACATACCCTGTTGTTGTTAGCGAGAGGCGCCTAATGAACTGTTGAGATTGACGAGATGAATAAATGCCAATTTCTTTAGTCCCAACATGTCAATTGGCGCTGCCCGATATATCCACTTTATGTCTCTCATGACAGCTGACATTCATGTCTTGGTTCCGTGGCTGCGCTTCAGTTAGGAGAGAATACATGCATCATGCCTCCGTAGATACCAACGATGCTCCACAGGTAGCTTCAGTTTGTCTCATATAATCTCAATTTCCTTCAGAAAATGCGTAGCCCAAGTCTTCTCAACTTCCTTTTACCTACAGCTGTCGTGTAATTGAATCTACCATCGCAAGCTACTCAACCCCAATACTCGACGTGTACCAATGCAGATTGGGGAGGGTAAAGTTCTCTACGGCCATAACCAATACGAATTATGGCTCTCGAAAGCCTCGATATGCGACAGCATATGGAAAGAGAGCTGTTGAAAGATGAAGCCCTCGCTCAAGCCAAAATCCTAAACTTGGCTTCCCACAACGATGAACCCCAGTGGGCCGTGGCTATCTCTTTGTCCAAGTCGGCCATACAAGACCAGGCAAATACCTCGAGCATCATTAAAAGGGCCCGTAAAGCCCTTCGGAAACTGAAAGATCAAAATAAGGACGAAAAATTTCCAATTCCCAAGAAATGGACTGTTCTCGACGAGCTTCCAACGACCCCGCAGGGGCAGGTGGATGAGAGAGCCCTCTATCGCCTGCTGACTGCTTGGGATATGGCCGAATCCAATCTCTCACCAAAAGAAAAGAGAGCACATATAGCTGCCGAAGTAGCTCGCGCTGATAATAACCGAATTCCTCACGACGAGATACCTACGAAAGAAACAGAGCTAGTGTTACGAGAACTGTGGGGCAGAGTGCTCAATCTTGAACCTCAGGATATAGGTATCAAGGATAATTTTCTGATCCTTGGCGGAGATTCGATCAACGCCATAGAGCTTGTTGCATTGGCCGAGCGATATGGGATTGGATTAAAGGTCACCACAATAGTTGGCAACCCTGAGCTCCAAAAGATGGCCGCCATGGCAATCATGGATGAGGAAAATAGCGACGCGTATAATGCCGAGCCTCTGAGTTTGCTGCCACAGATGGAAGTCGATGAAGTCACGAGAGAAATTCGGACCAAGTGTGGGCTGGCAGATGATGATATCGTCCAGGATGCCTTCCCCTGCACAGCCCTTCAGGCTGGTATCATGGCACTATCAGAGAAGCAGCCTGGCTCGTACATGACGAGACAGATTTACGAATTGCCAAGCCATGTTGACATCCCGCGATTCAAGACGGCATGGGAAGCGACAGTGGAACGCTGTGACAATCTTCGTACCCGAGTGCTGCCTGTTAATGGCCGGACGATCCAAGCAGTGATTAAAGATGATACTGCTTGGGAAGATTCCGCTGGTGAAACAATCGATTCGTTCGTAGCGAAATCCAAGGGCATAACAATGACCTATGGAACACGCCTGTGTCGGTATGGATTAGTGAAAGATGCAGATGGCAAGTCATACTTTGTCTGGGTCATTCACCACGCTGTATTTGATGGATTAACTGCGCGCCTCATCCTCGACAGCTTGTATCAGACGTACAATGGCCAAGCACAAGGCATCTTACGGCCATACTCGAGCTTCATCAAGTACATCACATCGATTGATGAGAATGCCGCGAGAAATTTCTGGAAGACGCAGCTTCAAGACGCCCGCCGGGCTAACTTTCCTCGTAACTTGAGCGCAAGATCCGACATGGTCAGCCGTGTAATGACAAGGGGGATTTCATTTCCCTACACAGCTGAAATCCCTGTCACAAAGGCGACAATACTGAGAGCTGCTTGGGCTATCATCTTGGCCCGATATTGCGATACAGATGATGTATGCTTTGGGACGACTGTTTCTGGAAGACAGGCCGCCGTTCCTGGAATCAACCAGATGCCTGGATTTGTGATTGCTACAGTCCCAATTCGGATTCGCCTCCAGCGTGGCGAGTCTGTTGCTACATTCTTGCAAAGTGTCCAGGCTCAAGCGTCTGAAATGGTTCCATTTGAGCAATATGGGCTACAAAATATCGCAAAACTCAGTGAAGATGCGAGAGATGCGTGCGATTTCTCCAACTTATTCGTGATTCAACCAGCAAGGTCTCTGGCCTCTATGGCAGATTCTGGATCCAAAGACGCGATATTGCTGCGTGGCAGTGCTGCGGAGAAGAAACTATCCGACTCATCTACACAGAATTACTTCAACTATCCACTCGTCCTTGAAGCTCTCCTTGATGACGGTCGCGTTGATCTACAAATCACATATGACTCGAATTCAATCACTGGTGACGCACTTGAGGCATTGTTCCATCACTACGAGCATGTTGTTCAGCAGCTTTTTCAAGCGTGGAACCAGCCGCTCAGTACAATAGAAGTTAGTGGAGAATGGGACTCAGAGTGCGCAAAGAGGTTCAATCCAGAGACGCCAGAGATTGTGGATCTTTGCATCCACCAAATGTTTGAGAACCAAGCCTTAAGACGGCCAACTGACCTTGCGATCTGCGCTTGGGATAAGACTTTCACATATAGTGAGCTCAGCAGGGCATCAAATAGGCTAGCCCATCATCTTGTGAACAAGCTCTCTATACAGAAGGAAGATTTGGTTCACGTATGCTTCGAAAAGTCGGCCTGGTTTATCATCGCCATACTAGCCATCAACAAGGCCGGCGCGGCCTGGGTTCCTTTAGACCCTTCGCATCCGGAAAAAAGGCTGAAACAAGTCGTCTCGCAGACCAGGGCAAAGGTTGCCTTGGCCTCATCGACATACTCATCGCTATGTGCTGGTCTTGTTGACTCTGTTGTGGAAGTGTGTTCGGCTTTAGATGAGAAACTCGTACACTACGAATGCAGCGCACGAGGACCGAAAGTCAACGTATCACCACGGAACGCTGCATATGTATTATTTACGTCTGGAAGCACAGGAATCCCCAAAGGCTTGGTAATGGAACATGGGTCTGTTTGCACAAGCCAAGTGGCGATTGCCAAACGACTTAGCATGACGCCTCGCGTTAGGATGTTGCAGTTTTCTGCGTATGTATTCGATGTCTCCGTGGGAGAAATTGTACAGCCGCTTATTACCGGTGCATGTTGCTGTGTGCCCTCGGAAGCTTTGCGCATGAACAATCTTGCCCAATTTATTCGTGACAGGCGTGTCAACTGGGCTTACTTTACGCCTTCATTCGCGAGAACCATTAGCCCCAAAGAGGTTCCGGACCTTGAGCTCATGTTATTCATCGGAGAAGCCGTACAGCGCGACGTCTTTGATATGTGGGTTGGGAAAACGAGGCTTATAAACGCCTGGGGGCCTGCAGAGACCTGTGTCTTCAGCAGTATTCAGGAGTGCCATTCGACAGAGGAGTCCAATCTTAATATTGGGCGACCAGTTGGGGCCTTTTGTTGGATTGTTGATCCTACAGATCCTCAGCGGCTGGCACCGATTGGAACTGTAGGTGAAATCGTCGTTCAAGGCCCGACGGTGTTGCGGGAATATCTCCATAATCCGGAAAAGACAAATGAAGCAATTGTCACTACAGTACCTGAGTGGGCACCTTATCATGAGTCACGATACTGGAACAGATTTTATAAAACAGGAGACTTGGCTTATTACAATCCTGATGGAACTATGGAGTTTCTTAGCCGCAAGGACACCCAAGTCAAGATCCGTGGTCTTCGCATCGAAGTTGGTGACATTGAGCATCACATTCAAAATTCCATGAAAAGTGTATGCCAAACGGTCGTGGATGTCTTCAAGGCCGAGACAGGCTCTCTGTTGGTGGCCTATATCTGCTATACAAAAGAAAGACGGGCGACTAGCAAGGTCAACATTGAGAATGACGATATTTTCTTGCCATTCACAGACGGAATACGATCACAAGTCACAGAAATTATTGGCGAACTCAGTATTTTACTCCCACCTTATATGATCCCTAAAGTCTTTATTCCGTGCCATTTTATGCCAGTTGTATCGTCGGCAAAGCTGGACAGGAATAAGCTGCGAGACACCACACAGAGATTGAGTCGACATGAGTTGGCACAATATTCCTTGGCATCTAGTAACACAAGGAGACCTGAGACAGCCGCCGAGATTCGCATGCAGCAGTTATGGGCAGGAGAGTTGAAGATTGCGGCAGAGTCTGTAGGACGAGACGACAGCTTCCTGCACCTGGGTGGCGATTCTCTGGTGGCCATTCAGCTTGTAACATCGGCCCGGAAGGTAGGCCTATCACTCACTGTCAAAGACATCTTTGATGATCCTCGACTATGGGCTGTATCACAGAGAGCCATTGAGATTGACGCCAGCGCTGCTGCACTGCACGAGATTCGCCCATTTAGTCTTTTGAACGGCTACATGAGCACCGCTAATGCTATAGAAACATTGAGGAAATTGTGTAATCTGTCAGAAGAATCCATTATTGAAGATGCATTCCCGTGTACCTCACTCCAAGAGGGTCTCTTGGCAATGTCGACTACTCAGCCAGGTTCATACATTGCCAAACAGCTGTACCGATTGCCATCGGACGTAAACATTGCCAAGTTCCAAGCGTCATGGGAGGAAACTGTCAGGATGTGCTCTAATCTGCGAACAAGAATCGTCTTTGTTGACGATACCTGTGTCCAGGTCGTGGTAAAAGACGACATTGCTTGGGATTTAGCTGAGGAGACAGGTCTCGATGCTTATTCACAGTCATCCCAAAATCTGACAATGGCCTATGGATCGCGACTCTGCCGCTATGCAATCATTCGAGAGAGTGACGATGTCGCTTATTTTGCTCTTAATGCTCATCATTGCGTATTTGATGGATGGAGTCTGCCGCTCATCTTCAATACGCTCTCCGGGATATATCACGGCAAGGCTGTACCAGAACTCACACCTTATGCCCATTTCGTCAACTATGCAATTAGCTTGGATAGAGACGCAGCTGGGAATTACTGGCGTTCCCACCTTCAAGACGCCCAGCCAGCTTCATTCCCCTCTGTTGAAGAGGCGCAATCACAGGGCAAGGTGACTCGTGTGAGAACTCATAGCATCCAATTTCCTCAGCCTGTTAACCGATCGGTTACCAAAGCATCAATCCTGCGTGCTGCCTGGGCAATTGTGCTCGCCAGATATAGTGACACGAATGACATCTGTTTTGGTACTATAACCTCGGGCCGTAATGCCAACATGCATGGCTTAGAATCGGTTCCCGGATTAGTCGTTGCGACCGTACCCGTCCGAGTTCGGCTTGATAGCCAGAAGTCAATTAAATCGTTCCTTCAGAATGTTCATAATCAAGCCATCGAAATGATTCCATTTGAGCAATATGGCCTACAGAATATTTCGAAGCTGAGCAAGGAATCTCAGCAGGCGTGCGAGTTTACTAGTCTTTTAGCAGTGCAACCGGCCTATACGCATGATGCTGCTGACTCTCTACTAACTTCAGTCAATTCTGAAGGCGATCTTTATGAGAAAATGCTACAGAACTACCTCAGTTACCCACTGGCACTGCAGTGTTGTTTAGGAGAAGATCAAGTCGCATTGGAGTTCATATACGATGAAACCGTGCTCTCTGACTGGAGGGTCCAGGCGTTATCAGTACACTTTGATAATGTTGTGCGACAACTATGCAAGCAAGAAGATAGTAACCTCGGTTCTATCACGATAGCTGGCTCATGGGATCTCAAGCATGCCACAGAATTGAATCCTCCAATAAGTGTTGTTGAAAGCTGCGTTCCTGACTTGATATCTGAACAAGTTATGAAGAGGCCGGAGCATGAAGCCGTTTTCTCGACTGAACGATCTTTTACATATGCAGAGCTCAACCGGCTATCCAGCCTTCTGGCTTCCCATCTCTCAGATTTAGGAGTAGGACCAGATGCCATTGTTCCGTTTTGCATGGAAAAGTCCGTTTGGGTAATTGTTGCTATGCTCGCTATCATGCAATCAGGTGGAGCATATCTTCCACTTGACCCCTCACATCCGATCAATCGAAGACGGACGATTGTGGAAGAAGTTGGTGGTGGTATAATCATAGTGTCACCTTTAACGTCTTCAACGTGCGATCAGCTGGCCAAACAAATTATTGTTCTATCACCTTCGCTAATGGAGGATTTGTCCACATCTCCTCAGCATGCTCTCAAGAAAACAAAGAAGTGTTCTCCCGACAATGCTGCGTATGTGTTATTTACTTCGGGCTCAACAGGAAAACCAAAAGGCACAGTTATCGGCCAATCTGCCGCTTGTACCAATATCTTGGACTACGGCAAGATTACGGGATGGAATGAATATTCGAGATGTCTCCAATTTTCATCTTACACATTTGATCTTAGCGTGGCAGAAATCTTTTGCACGCTTGCACGCGGTGGCACCATATGTATACCATCCGAAACGGAGCGTTTACAGAGCATTCACGACTTCATGCAAAGAGCAAATGTCAACATTGCTAATCTCACACCATCATTTGCTCAAATACTGGATCCAAATGAGATCCCTCAATTAAAAACACTGGCTTTCGCCGGCGAGGCAGCTACTCGAGATTCGCTAGACACATGGTGTGAACATGTTAAACTCATCAACGCATATGGCCCGACAGAGGTTACTATGGTTTGTACTACACACGAGTTTAACATAGATGACAAGCCTACAAACATTGGCCGACCTTTTAATAGCGCCTGTTGGATCGTTGAGCCGCATGATTATCACAAGCTTGCGCCTATTGGTTGCGTTGGCGAGCTGGTTGTCCAAGGACATACCCTGAGTCGTGGCTACATAAATGAGCCTGAGAAGACGAAGGCGGTATTTCTCTCAGACCTTCAGTTTGCTACGTCCGGGCCGCGCCATTTTTATTTGACCGGTGACTTGGTGAAATACAATGATAGAGGAGAAATGGAGTATCTTGGCCGGAAGGATAAGCAGGTCAAAATTAGAGGACAACGTGTGGAACTCGGAGAAATCGAAGCTAGCATCAAGCGCATTAGACCGGAGGTTGCTCAGGTCGGCGCTGAGGTTTTGCGACGGGAAGCTGGTGATATCCTGGCTGCATTTATATCCTTCAAAGAAGAACACAACAACCCACTGACAGATTTTTTTTTTCCATTGGATCAAAAAATGCGTGTGCGTCTTGTTTCGCTGGTTGATCAACTGAAAGAAGAACTGCCAAGCTACATGGTGCCCACGCTGACTATACCTCTTCGTGAGTTACCGTTCAATGCAGCGATGAAGCTGGATAGAAGCAAATTGCAGGCTTCAGTAAAGGATTTTACAATGGAGGAGCTCATGTCATACTCTTTGAATGAGAGAGATAGAGTCGCTCCAACAACAGAGATGGAGCTAAAACTACAAGACCTATGGGCTCGTGTGCTAAAGATTGAGACTGAAACGATTGGGAAGAATGACCACTTCCTCCAAACTGGCGGTGATTCCCTTTCCGCAATTCGACTTTCTTCTCTGGCAAACCAACAAGGAATCAAGCTGTCCGTAGCAACGATATTTTCTGTTCCTAAGCTGTCAGCCATGGCCGCCGCCGTGAGCGTGGGAGATGTCGAGAAAGACCTTCAATTGTCACCATTTAGCCTACTTCCCTTCGAAGTGACAGACTCTGTTACAAAAATTATCCGAGAAAAGTGCAACTTATCAGACAGTCACATCATTCAAGACATATATCCCTGCACTGCCTTCCAGGAAGGTCTAATGGCTTTGGCTGCAACCCGACCTGGCTCCTACATTGCGAAAAATATCTACAAAATTCCTGCTCACCTTGATGTAGTCGCGTTCAAAAATGCCTGGGAACGAACGATTGAGTTGTGTGACAATCTCCGAACACGGATTGTGTCCGTTGATGGGGCTTTCCTTCAAGTGGTGTTGGATCGTGATGTCTCGTGGGATACGGCCTCGTCATTGGACATTCAGTCTTGTGTATCAGATTCACAGCATACTAGAATGAATTATGGATCACGGCTTTCGCGCTATTGTATTCTGAAGGATCAAAGTGGCGAAACATATTTCTTCTGGACAATTCATCATGCCGTTTTTGACGGATGGAGTCTCGGTGTCATCATCAACACATTAACGGCATTGCTGAGAAATCACGCCTTGCCAAATCTCTATCCATTTCGGAACTTTATTGAATACTCATTGGATCTGGACACTAAGGCGGCAAATGAGTACTGGATCAATCAGTTACAAGATGCAAATCGGGCTTCATTTCCCTCTCGACCGACACGGCGACAACCCTGCTCTGAACCGAAGAGGACCAGCGTCTTCGTGAGTAACGTTAAGCTTTCTGCCTCTACGCGTAGTTCCATAACGAAGGCTACGATTATGAAAACTGCCTGGGCCATGGTTCTTGCCAAATACTGCGACAGTAATGATGTGTGCTTCGCAACAACGGTAGCTGGGCGGAATGCACCTGTAGCCGGGTTAGAGTCAATGTCAGGGCCGACGATTGCAACAGTGCCTGTGCGCATCCGTCTCGACAATAATGAGAAATTGGTAGAGCTGCTTGATAGAGTTCAGATTCAAGCCTCTGAAATGGTCGCATATGAGCAGTTTGGCCTCCAGAATATTACCAAACTAAGCCCGCAGATAAAAGAAGCGTGCGACTTTTCTAGTTTAATGGTGGTACAACCTGCTGAAACGAAGGACTCCGATCCAGTCCTTATATCCCTGAATTCGGACGAAAAGATCGCAGAAGAAGCTTTACAAAACTATTTCACTTACCCTCTAATTCTTCACTGTTTCCTAGGGGAGGGAACAGTGAAACTAGCCTTCATCTACGAGACTAGCGCGCTTGCAGAATCCCAAATAAAGGCCCTCTCGTTTCAATTTGACAATGTTATTCAACAGCTGAATGCGTCTGCCGATTTAAGCGTTGGAGATGTTAATATTGCTGGAAGTTTCGACTTAGAATACGCCATGGCAGCAAATGGTCAACCTCCTGATGTCGTTGAAGAATGTGTTCATACACTTATAGAAAGGGTGGCCGTAAGACATCCAGACTTGCCCGCCGTATCTGCCTGGGACGCAAGATTTACCTACAAGGAGCTTGATACCATTGCCAACAGACTTGCAAACTATCTCGTCTCCTTTTTCGGCCCTCAATTAGGAGACATAGTACATGTTTGCTTTGAAAAGTCAGCCTGGTATGTGGTAGCCACTCTAGCGATTAGCAAAGCTGGCGCGACATGGTCACCTCTTGATCCTTCTCATCCACATGATCGGCATAAACAAGTTGTCAGCCAGACTGGAGCATCACTTGCCTTAGCTTCTCCCGAAAATGTGTCAAAATGTGTTAATCTGGTCAAAAATACCCTTCAAGTGGCAGATAGACTGAATGCCCAATTGATCAACGATGGTTGCTATGAAAACAAACCTCAAGTTAGAGTGACAGCACAACATGCTGCCTACATCCTCTTCACTTCAGGTAGTACTGGTACTCCAAAAGGCGTTATAATTGAACATGGTGCTCTGTGTAGCGCTCAAATGGCCGCCAGCAAACGGCTCGGGTTCGGTCCAGGCGTGAGAATGCTACAGTTTGCGTCGTTTGTCTTTGATGCGTCAGTCGCAGAAATCATCACGCCCTTGATATCTGGTGCTTGTGTATGCATTCCTTCGTGGGAGACTCGGATGAATACCCTAACAAGCTATATTCAGCAAGAACAAGTTAATTGGGCTTTGTTGACTCCCTCGTTTGCTCGTACATTACATGCGGATGATGTGCCCAGTCTTAAGCTGCTTATCTTAGGAGGTGAAGCGGTAGGACGAGATGTGTTCGATCTGTGGTTTGGTAAGCTTCGATTATTCAACGCTTGGGGACCTACAGAGACTTGCGTGTATGGAGCCATCCACGAGTGGCAATCTACATGTAGTGAAGAATCGCAGCTGACTATCGGGCGGCCGCTTGGTGGTTTTTGCTGGATTGTCGAGCCAAACAAACCCCAGAAGCTGGCTCCTATAGGGACTGTTGGCGAACTTGTTATTCAAGGTCCAAATCTGTTCCGCGAATATCTAGCAGATGCGAAGAAAACCGCTGCAGCAACCATACAAGTCCCGGATTGGGCGCCATACCGCGATTCAAAACACTGGAGCCGCTTCTACAAAACAGGAGATTTGGCCATGTATAACCCGGATGGAACAATCCACTATATTGGCCGTAAAGATATGCAAGTCAAGATTCATGGTCTCCGTGTTGAGCTAGGAGAAATAGAGCATCACATTCATACTGGATTAGACGGGGTTTGTCAAGTTGCTGTTGATGTGCTGAAAACAGATGTTTCCTCCAATCTGGTGGCGTTCCTCTGTTTTAATGACGATACAATACCCGCTGGTTCGGCTGTCCTAAAAGATCTTATCTGCTCACTCACAGACGATTTGAAGAGCTCGTTTCACAGTCTTCGCGAGCACCTCAACTCTGCTCTACCGGCGTATATGATACCGACGTTCTTTATCCCTTGCAAGGCTATACCACTGGCTACGTCTGCGAAAATGGATCGAAAAATACTACTTGAACTGATCGCACAACTTGATAGTCAGGATTTGAACCAATACACACTGGATGTCGAAGAAAGAAATAAAGAAGCTCCAGTGTCGTATATGGAACGCCGCCTCCAAAGGTTATGGAGTGAGATTCTTCATATCCCGCAAGAATCCATTTATCGGGATACCAATTTCCTTGGGATTGGTGGTGACTCTGTTGCAGCCATTCGACTTGTTTCTTACGCTCACCACCAAGGCATTCTGTTCAATGTCAGCGATGTGTTTGAGGATCCTCTTTTACTCGCCGTAGCGACCAAAGCTCGTTTGCTAGCGGAGGACATCGAAGATACTTCTGTTGAACCATTTAGTTTGCTAGAACGGGAGTATGAGAATATTGCAACAAGCGACTCAACAAAGTCTCTCCCTGGACTATCCAGCGAAAACGAGATTGAGGACGCATATCCATGTTCCAGACTTCAAGAAGGGCTAATGGCTCTAGCAGTCAAGCAACCGGGATCGTATATCGCGAAATTTATCTATCGTCTTTCTGATGACACGGATGTTCCCACGTTCAAGGGTGCATGGGAGCGTACCGTTAAGATTGCCACAAATCTGAGAACCCGAATCATTCAGTCGGGCGGCCAATCCATTCAATTAGTCGTTAAGGAAGACGTCCCATGGGATCATATTCGCAGTACCTCACTGGAAGATTACATGCAGGAACTTCAAGGCGTTCAAATGAACTATGGCTCCCGCCTTCGCCGTGATGCGATTCTTACAGACGAAGCTCATAGAAAGACATACTTCATTCTAACACTCCATCACGCTGTTTTTGATGGTTGGTCCATAAGAAATATCTTCAACATGCTACAAAGGCTGTACTACGGTGTCAATGACATGAGCATTCAGCCATATTCTAGGTTCATACAGTATACCTTGGAATTGAACAATGAAGACACCGTTAAGTATTGGACGGCACAACTTCAGGGATCTAAGCCAGCTTCATTCCCAAAGAAAGCCAATTCGGATTCGGCTGCAGGAAATACTGACAATGCTGGTATCGTGAATAAGATGATTGGGGTTTCTGCAATAGCTACCCCCAGCATAACAATGGCCACAATATTGCGAGCTGCTTGGTCTATTGTTTTAGCTCGGTACTGCGAAACAGAAGACATTTGCTTTGGAGCCACTGTGTCAGGCAGACAAGCTCCAGTGCCTGGGTTGGTCGATATGCTGGGGCCTATCATCGCAACAATACCTGTGAGACTCCGAATTGATCCCAAACAGTCTGTCTCCGATTTTCTACATTATGTGCAGGGGCACGCTACCGAGATGGTTCAGTATGAACAGTTTGGTATACAGAGCATTTCAAAGGTCAGCAATGATGCCAAAGATGCCTGTGATTTCTCGAGTCTCTTCGTTGTCCAGCCAATGCAATCTCTCCTCGGAAATGGCGATGAGAGCATCATGGTCGCTACAGAAGAAGGAAAAAACGCGAACGCTTTCCACAACTATTTCAGTTATCCTCTAATCATTCAAGGACACATATACGAAAGTCAAATCGAAATCGTCCTCATTTATAATAAGAATGTCCTCTCAGAACCACAATTGATCGCACTTGCGCACCAACTTGAACATGCGGCGCAGCAGCTTGCTGCTCAGACAGACATGGTTCTTGGGGATATACCAAAATCATCAAGCTGGGACATCCAACAGGCAGCCAGATTTAACCCTGAGCTACCAGATATTGTCGATTCATGTGTGCACACCCTTATTGAGAAGCAGGCGATGATTCGGCCAGACGCCCTAGCGATTGATGCATGGGATGGCAGATTCACATATGCAAGTTTGAATCAGTCCGCAAATCGTCTGGCACATCATTTGATCAACAATTATAGTATAAAGACTGGCGACCTTGTGCACGTCTGCTTTGAGAAAACTGCCTGGTTTGTAATATCCATATTAGCCATCAATAAAGCTGGAGCCACTTGGATACCACTTGATCCATCCCACCCGCCCCAGCGGCTTGTACAGATTGTTTCTCAAACAAAAGCAACCGCTGTCTTGACATCGACTACAAATGCATCAATTTGTAAAGCACTATTCTCAAATCTAATTGAAGTTACCAAATCACTTGATGAAAAACTAGCAAAATCGTCAAAGCATGGTGAAGGAGAATGTCCCGAGACGAGCGTATCCCCTCGTGATGGGGCCTACATGCTATTCACATCCGGTAGTACAGGAACGCCTAAAGGTTTCTTGATGGAGCACGGTGCTGTTTGTACTAGTCAGACTGCCATTGCAAAGAGACTCGCGCTTACGCCGGAAGTCAGGATGTTGCAGTTTGCATCATATGTATTTGACATGTCCGTTGGTGAGATTATTCTAGCATTGGTCTCGGGTGCTTGTGTATGCATACCTTCAGACCACACTAGGATGAATGGCTTGAAGGATTACATTCGTCAGATGAACATCACATGGATGTGGTCCACTCCATCCTTCATCAAAACCATTAAGCCGCACGACATCCCGAACATGAAGCTGGTAATTTTAGCTGGGGAGGCTATTCCACGAGATGTATTGGCTACTTGGTTTGGCAAAGTCCGCCTAATAAATGGCTGGGGACCTGCTGAAACATGTGTTTGCAGCACTCTCCATGAGTTCACTTCTATTCATGAATCGTCTTTAACTATAGGCAGACCCGTCGGTGGTTTATGTTGGATTGTAGACCCTGATGACCCTTCGAAGCTCTCTCCTATAGGCACCATCGGTGAAATTATCATCCAAGGTCCAACTTTATTACGAGAGTACCTTGGCGACTATGAACGGACGAATAAGACAATTATAACCTCTTTTCTCGACTGGGGTCCGCATCGAGATTCGCAACATTGGAGTCGATCTTACAAGTCTGGCGATTTGGGCTTCTATAACCCAGATGGCACCATTGAATTTTCAGCTCGAAAAGACACACAAGTCAAGATTCGAGGTCTTCGTGTGGAGCTGAGTGAAGTCGAACACCATTTTCAGCTCGCTTTCCCTCAAGCGAAGCAGGTGGCAGTCGACGTATTCCGATCCGATGGTGGAGCGAATTTGGTCGCATACTTTTGCCTAAGTGGTGAGACAAAGACTGAAGACGATGATGGTAGGGATGGTAGCAAAGATGATGGTCCATTCCTGTCTATTGACGATGAACTACAATCTCGTTTGACGGCAGTCGTCGGTGAACTAACGGTCGCATTGCCGCGGTATATGGTCCCAACCCTCTTCATCCCCTGTAGCTATATGCCAGTCATCATTTCCACAAAACTCAACCGGAAAAAACTTCGACAATTAACAGCTACATTAGAGCAACAAGATCTTGCCCTATATTCACTGATTGGAACTCAGAAACGCGCTCCCGAGACACCCATGGAGAGACTGCTGCAAAAAATCTGGGCGGAAATCTTAAACATTTCGATGGATTCAATTGGTCGTGATGATAGCTTTTTAGCCCTTGGTGGTGACTCAATTGCGGCAATTCATTTGGCTAACACTGCTCGTGAGGATAGAATATTGTTGACTGCGAAGAATATCTTTGATGATCCCCGTTTGCTAACAGTTGCCGCAACAGCCAAGACCTTGGATACAATGGAAGATGAAGTCTCTGATCTATCGCCATTCGACCAACTCGATAAAAACACACGACAATGGGTGACTGGAAAATCTTTGGCAGCACAACTTCAACTATCGGGCAGCCAGTCGGTTGAAGATGCCTACCCCTGCACTAAATTGCAAGAGGGCTTGATGGTCCTCAGTTTGAGACAGCCAGGTTCATATATCGCAAAATATATATATAGGCTGTCTAAAGACTTGGATATCGACCGATTCAAATTATCCTGGGATGAAACTATTGCGTCTTGCGGAATATTGCGATCACGTCTTGTTCTTCACGAGGGAACGTGTATTCAGGTCGTGATTAATGATGATAACCTATGGGAAGCTTCTAGCGGCAACTTGGAAGATGCGATGGAGAAAGCTAAATCCCTTCGAATGTCATATGGCTGGCAGTTATCGAACTTTGCTATCACAAAAGATGATGATGGAAACAATTACTTCTTGTGGACCATTCATCATGCAATTCATGACGGGTGGACAATCCCACTCATCTTGCAAACGTTCTATCAATCTTACCACGAGCGTATGCTATTCATTCCACAGCCGTTTTCTAAGTTCATCTACCATTTGTCGCAAATGGATGAGTCTGCTGGTCGTGCTTACTGGACGAAACAGCTCGAAAATGCCAAGCCGGCTGCATTTCCAGCACCGAAACTTGCTCGTACTTCTACGGGGACGACCCAAACCTGTGCTTTGACTACAAACATCAACTTCCCAACTTCAACTAATTCATTGATTACAAAGGCAACAATTATTCGCGCAGCTTGGGCAATTGTCCTGGCAAAATATTGCGATAGTGACGATGTTTGTTTTGGCGCCACTACATCAGGTCGTCAAGCATCGCTGGATAGCTTATTAGAAATAGCAGGACCAACAGTAGCCACAGTGCCGGTCCGAATTCGTATAGACCGTGAGCAGCTAATAACAGACTTTTTGCAAGATGTTCAACGTCAAGCAACTGATATGATACCATATGAGCAATTCGGTTTACAGAACATCTCCAGATTGAGCCCCGAAGCTAAGGCAGCGTGCGATTTCTCTAGCTTAATGGTGATTCAGCCCATGCAAGAGGTCACTGAGGATAGAAACTCAAGTGGTGTTATGTCCGCTGTTGACGATGGGCGCAATACACAGGAAAGCCAATTGCAAAATTACTTCACATACCCACTGGTTATTCAAGGACATGTCTTTGACAACCATGTGGATCTTGTTACAATATTCGATACGGCAGTTCTTTCTCTGTCTCAGATGGAGGCTCTTGCACGTCAATTCAACAATGTAGTAGAGCAATTAGTCCTGAAGCAAGGACAGCAGATTGATCAAGTATCTGTTGCCAGCGCTTGGGATTTACAGTTCGCTCTACAGCCCAATAACAATATACTTACTATTATCGACAGCTGTGTCCACACTCTTATTTCAAAGCAAGCTGGACAAGCACCAAATGCCCTTGCTCTTCATGCTTGGGATGGTGAACTCACGTACAATCAGTTGGAGCAGGCGACTAACAGATTGGCATCGCATCTAGTACATGAATTCAATACTCATATTGGAGACATCATTCATGTATGCTTTGAGAAATCTATATGGTACGTTGTGGCTATCCTTGCCATCAACAAAGCTGGCGCGGCATGGGCTCCAATTGATCCTGCTCATCCCGTACAACGACTGCGGCAAGTTGTACAGCAGACGGGCGCTGCCTTGACGATATCTTCGGTTTCTCATGTTTCATTATGTGCGGAATTAACCAAAGATGTGGTTGTCCTTGGCCCTGAGTTGTATAAAAAATTACAGGATAAGTTTGACAGCAGCATGCCAATCATTGATGTGACTCCTGATGATGTGGCTTATATCTTGTTTACCTCAGGAAGTACCGGAATACCCAAGGGAATTGTTATGGAGCATAGGGCTCTTTGCACAAGCCAGAGAGATATCAGTAAGCGGCTGAACCTCACCAGTGACGTGAGGATGCTTCAATTCTCGTCATTTGTTTTTGACGTTTCTGTTGGAGAGATTATATCGCCCCTTATGCATGGCGCTTGTGTTTGTATCCCCGCTGAGGCCATGAGATTGAATGGCAATCTAGACGAATTTGTTCGTTTCGCCAATGTAACGTGGGCGTTCTTGACTCCGTCATTTACAAGAACATTAAAACCGGCAAATTTCGATAATTTAAAGCTTCTACTTCTCGCTGGACAGGTTTTTCCACAAGAAATACTTGACGCGTGGTGCGGAAAACTTCGGCTCATTAATGCCTGGGGCCCAGCAGAAACCTGTGTCTTCAGTTCTATGCATGAGTGGGAAGACTCTTCAGAAGATATTACAATTATTGGACGCTCGGTTGGATCCAATGTCTGGGTGGTTGACTCTAATAACCCTCATCAATTAGCTCCTGTCGGCTGCCACGGAGAGATTGTTGTCCAGGGGCCAGCTCTACTTCGTGAATATCTTTCTGATGTTTCAAAAACATCAGCAGCAATCATAAAAGACCTCCCCGACTGGGTGCCTAATCGCACAAGCAAGGGCTGGGGCCGATTTTACAAAACTGGTGACATGGGCTACTACAGCCACGATGGGAACCTTCACTTCGTCAGCCGTAAAGATACACAGGTCAAAATTCGAGGATTGCGTGTTGAGCTGGGTGAGATTGAGCACCAGATACGCAGCGCCCTCAACAGCGCCCATCAAGTTTCCGTTGATGTTTTTAGAAATGGAACCGCCGCTCACCTTGTTGCCTACATATGTTTTTCGGACAGCACTAAGACACCACAGCAGATACTTGAGCATGATGGCGAAGATTTGCTCATGACTATGACCGACGGGCTACAAGCTACTCTAAAGGGACTGGCTGGTGCACTACACTTGGCCCTCCCTCGATATATGATACCAACACTATTTATTCCTTTCAACTACCTTCCACTCATATCATCGGCCAAATTGGATAGGGTTAAACTCCGCCAAATGATCGGTAGCTTTTCTCATGACCAGTGGAACCAATTTGCGCTGCTCGATAGCACACCAAAACGCGGCCCTGAAACTTCTATGGAAGTCCGTCTACAATCGATTTGGGCAAAAGTTTTGGGTATTCCTGCCGAGGTAATCGGCCGTGATGATAGCTTCTTACATATTGGCGGGGATTCAATCGGTGCTATTCAGCTTGTTTCGTTAGCCCGTGAAGCGGGCATTCACCTCAAAATAAGCCAAATCTTCGAAGATCCGCGACTCAGCCATCTCGCGTCTACAGCGATAAACATTGATCTAGCCACGACTGGGCTGGATGACAAGATTCAACCATTTTGTCTTCTTGATCATTCTACTAAGACTAAAGTCCTCGATACTGGTCGCCGCGAAGAGTTTGGCCTCTTAGAGAATGAACTCATTGAAGACGCGTACCCTTGTACAAAACTTCAAGAAGGTCTCATGGCTATCGCAGCTAGGCAACAGGGTTCGTACTTTGCAAAACATCTCTTCAAATTGCCGTCTCATGTCAACATACCACTATTTAAAGTAGCATGGGAACAAACCGTTGCTGCTTGCAGTAATCTACGGACGAAAATAATTCTCGTGGACAATGTTTCTGTTCAAATTCAGCTGCAAGACAATCCCGCTTGGGACTCTGGTTACGATAGTCTTGCATCATATAAAGGTTCTTGTCAAAATGCCAAGATTAACTACAGCTCGGCCCTCTGTAGTTATGGATTGTTTCATGATAATGGCGACAACTTCTTTGCTCTCAATATCCACCATGCTATTTTTGATGGCTGGAGTTTGTCATTAGTTTTGCAGACCTTGTCAGCGGCCTACCAAGGCGTAGATTTACCCAAGCTTGAGCCTTACTCGAAATTTGTGAAATATGTCAGAGATATAGATGAGGATTCGGCCGCGGATTATTGGCAGAAGCAGCTACATGAAGCGAAGCCGGCAACCTTTACACAGCACATAATCACAACCAGCGACCAGCAAACTACTGCAATACTAAAGCGGAAAATACACTTCCCGCGTTCGACTAATGCCACTGTTACCAAAGCCACTGTCCTCCGGGCCGCGTGGTCTATTATCCTCTCCCGTTATTGCGATTCGGATGATGTTTGTTTTGGTTCCGTTGTCTCAGGTCGCAATGCTTCAGTCTCCGGACTTACCGCTATAACAGGACTTGTTACACCCACGGTTCCAATTAGGGTGAAACTTGACCGCAGATACACTATAAAGCAATTCCTGCAAGACATACAATCGCAAGCACTAGAGATGGTGCCTTTTGAACAGTTTGGGCTCCAAAACATCTCAAAAATTAGTCAGTATGCGAAAGAAGCCTGTAACTTCTCCAGCTTGATGGTAGTTCAGCCAGCGAAGCAGATGGGATTTACAGAAATTGGCAGTAGCTTCAGTCTCTTGCACCCGGCTTCCGAAGACGACAACATTGAACAAGTGATTCAAAGCTTTTTTAACTACCCTCTCATCGTCCAATGTGACTTGCTTGACGATGAAGTTGATTTGTTGCTCATGTATGACACAAGCATGTTTGCTCGTGATCAACTTGTAGCACTTTCCCATCAGTTCAGCCATGTTGTGGAGCAACTCCTTGCCACTGATGAGGTACTTTTAGAAGACATATCACTATCTAGTGCTTGGGATCTCGAAAAAGCCGTCTTATATAACACACAGAATATTGAGCTTGTCGACTCGTGTATACATGACTTGATCTCCGCTCAAGCATTACGCAATCCCCACCACGAAGCTATATTTTCCTCGGAGATATCAATGACATATGGCGAAGTAGATCATCTTTCAACACTGTTAGCCAATCATCTTCGTCTTCTTAAGGTCACGTCGGGAACGATGGTCCCCTTCTGTTTTGAAAAGTCGATATGGGCGATTATAGCCATGCTTGGAATTCTCAAGTCCGGTGCTGCGTTCGTTCCACTTGATCCATCACATCCACGAGCCCGTCTAGAGGACATAGCTAAGGAGACAAATGCGAAGGTGATGATTACTTCTCCAGCCTCTGCCTCATCCTGTCAGGATCTTGTGTCACATATTGTAGAACTGTCCCCTTCATTCATCGTTGCACTTGAAGCCACTGCCAAGCTTAAATCCGAACACATAATCTCGAAACAGTCGACCAGCGATACTGCCTACGTAATATTTACGTCTGGGTCTACGGGCAAGCCAAAGGGTGTCGTTATTCAACATTCCGCCCTTTGTACCAACATGATTGGCATAGGTAAAATACTTGGGACCAGCCCTTCGTCAAGAATCTTCCAATTCGCTGGCTATGTATTTGATGCTATGGTTTATGAGATTTTTGTGATATTGGTTCATGGTGGAACAGTGTGTGTGCCTTCAGACGCCGAACGACTTCAAGATGCGCCGGCTTTCATTTGCAAGTCGCGATCTACCGAAGCCCTTCTAACGCCATCCTTCGCTCGAACGATTCTCCCATCTCAAGTCCCTACGCTCAGAATGCTTATTGTTGGTGGTGAGCCTGTGTCCAAAGACTTGCTTGAAATATGGCACGGTAGAGTTCGTCTTATCAATGCATATGGTCCAACTGAGGGCTGCGTCATAGCAACAATGCACGATGTTCGATCAAGCAACGACTCACATAAAATTATCGGGCAAGGATTTAATTCTGCTTGTTGGATCGTCGACTCAGACGATCGCCGCAGGTTGACTCCTATTGGATGCCTTGGCGAGCTTGTAATTCAAGGTCATACGTTATCATGTGGTTACCTTAACGACTTGGAGAAAACTCGCAAAGCTTTCAGCGACCATCTTGATTGTCTACGTTTGACGCAAAACGGCGGGCCGCAGAGGTTCTACTTTACCAGAGATTTAGTCAGATATACCCCAGATGGACTTCTTGAATACGTTGGGCGGAAGGATTTACAAGTGAAGCTTCGCGGCCAACGCCTTGAACTTGGTGAGATCGAGTATCACTTCAAATGTTCCCTCGCTACTGTTGAACATGTCGTTGTAGACATTCTTCATCACAAATCGGGCATGTCTCTCGTCGCTTTTGTTAGCTTTGCGGGAGCGGTTTCCGACAGGAGCCTCCTTCTACCCATTGATGATTCAATACGTCCATCCTTGGAGGCTATACGAGCCTATGTAAAGGCTCACGTTCCACCTTACATGATGCCTAGCATAATCTTGCCTATCAGCCACATGCCTTTCGTAACTTCCATGAAGATGGATCGTAGGAAACTACTTGATTTGGCAGCCAGCTTGTCAACGGAGCAAGTATCAGGCTATTCGCCCACAAAACAAGAACGGGCTGAGCCAATAACGGAAATGGAGAAAAAGCTGCTAGACTTATCAGCAAAAGTCTTAAAAATTGATCCTTGTGAAATCGGCCGGCATGACAAATTCTTGGAGATTGGCGGTGATTCAATTACTGCAATTCAGCTAGTAAACCTTGCTGGAGGAGCCGGCATAAGTTTAACCGTGGCTGATATCTTTAAGGATTCTCAGATATCAGTTTTGTCCTCACTGGCGAGCAGCCAGCAGCTAAACGAGGTTTCTCACCTTGAACCCTTCACTCTTTTGCCACCTACCAAGCAAGACAGCTTGTTGTCCGAAGTGTCTAGGCTCTGTGGCTTAGCCAACAAGGGCCTTGTGGAGGACGCATATCCATGCACACAACTTCAACAAGGTCTCATGGCGTTATCCGTCAAGCAGCCAGGCTCGTATCTTGCGAAGAACCTCTACAAGCTCCCACAACACGTCGATATAAATCGATTTAAATCAGCGTGGGAACGCACTATGGAAATTTGTAGCAATTTGCGAACGCGAATTGTTCTTGTTGATGGAACGGCTATCCAGGTCATTCTACGAAACTGCCACGACTGGGAATCTTCCGAGAGTCTTGACTTATCTACATATTCGCAAGAAGTGTCTGCAATACGGGTGTGCTATAGCTCTAAACTAGTTCGATACGCATTACGACAAGACGGCGGAGATAATTATTTCGGTCTCACTATGCATCACAGCATATTCGATGGCTGGTCAATGGGTTGTATCATGGGAACGTTGGATTCCATCTATCGAGAAAATGAGCCACCATCATTAGCTCAGTATGCTCGCTTTGTCAAGTATACTATGGAACTTGATCGCGATGCCGCTCGGAAATATTGGCTAGAGCAGCTTCATGATGCCAAATGCGCTTCTTTCCCTTCGAATGCGAAGACAACCTCTTCTGTCAATCCGATCACTGGCTACGTCAGCAAGACAGTGGACATTAGCAACTATCCCAAGACCTCTATTACTAAAGCATCAATTATCAGAGCTGCATGGGCTATCGTCCTCGCCCGCTATTGCGACGCAAACGATGTATGCTTTGGGGCCACTGTTTCGGGCCGGAATGCAGCTCTCGTTGGCGCTGATTCAATGCCTGGAGTTATGCTTGCAACAGTTCCAGTTCGTGTTCGGCTTGACAAAGACCAGGAAATATCGGATTATCTTGGCAATATTCAGCATCAAAGCAGCGAGATGGTTGCGCATGAACAATTTGGTCTGCCCAATATCTCTTCGCTCGGTGCCAATGCCAAAGATGCCTGCAACTTTTCCTCTTTACTTGTCATCCAGCCCGCTGGATTTTTCACAGGGGGAAGTCAAAACTCGGATGCGATTCTGATAGATGATAGTTCCGAACAGGAATTGGAAGATAGGATTCAAAACTTCATCAACTATCCTCTTGTAGTACAGGGTCGTCTATACGACAATAAAGTTGAGATTGTTCTCATGTACAACACGGAATGCATGGCCAAATCTCAAGCTGTGGCTGTTTCCGAACAATTGGACAACGTAATTCAACAGCTGCTTTCCAATACTAAACAAACCTTGAGAATCATATCTGTCGCAAGCCCTTGGGATCTTCAGCAAGCAATTAATTGGAATACGGCAAGACTTGAACCTGTCAGCGAATGCCTCCATGACCTTGTCTCGAAACAAGCCCAGCGGCGACCAGGGCACGAAGCAATTTATTTTACCGGGGGAAGCATTTCCTATGCCGAACTCGATCTTCTTTCTTCGCAACTCGCGATTTTCCTAAGCGAAAAGGGCGTCAGCTTGGAGTCGTTTGTGCCGATATGTTTCGAAAAATCACCATGGGCCATTGTTGCCATGCTTGGTATACTCAAGGCCGGTGGTGCTTTTGTCCCATTAGACCCAAGCCACCCTGTTGCTCGTCGCCAGGCATTGATTAAAGAGATCGGAGCTCAAATCATGATTGCGTCTTCCTTTAATGCAACCGAGTGCGCGCAGATGACCAAGACTGTTATTGAACTCTCACCCACTCTGATATCATATCTATCTGGCATTAAGAAGACTAAAATCGCAAATACAGCTACACCATCAAGCGCAGCTTATATGCTCTTCACGTCGGGTTCCACCGGCAAGCCTAAAGGCGTCATTGTCGAACATCAGGGCATTTGCACGTCTCTGTTGGGCGAACACAAAGCATTCAACACCAATGAAAACTCACGCTGGTTCCAGTTTGCCAATTACGTCTTCGACGCTTGTATTACCGAAATATTTGCTGCGTTAACAGCTGGAGGCACTGGATGCGTGCCCACCGAGGCAGAGCGAATGCATCAAACCTCAAAGTTCATAACAGATGCGCAAGTCAATATCACTTTGTTAACACCAACGGTCGTCAAAACTCTAGCACCTGAATCACTGCCTTCACTCAAGACGCTTATACTTGGTGGTGAAGCTGCGTCAAAAGATATTATCGAGACATGGTATGGACACCTGGATCTGCGCAACGCCTATGGCCCTGCGGAAGCTTGCATTGCTTCCTCCGCTCATATTTACACATCTGCTACGGATTCTGCTACAACTATCGGGCGTGGATTCGCTCATCATTGCTGGATTGTAGATCCTGAAGATTGCCAGCAACTTGCACCCATTGGCTGTATTGGTGAGCTTTTGGTGCAGGGCCCTGCTTTAGCACGAGGATATTTCCAAAATGACAGCAAAACCAAGAGTTCGTTTGTCGAAGATGTCACCTGGCTACCGATAGAAAAGACAAAATTCCGACGATTTTACGAAACGGGAGATTTAGTTCGATACGGCGACGATGGGATTATGGAATACCTAGGGAGAAAGGATACACAAATCAAAGTTCGAGGACAACGGATAGAAGTGGGGGAGATTGAATATCAGATGAAGAAGCTGGAAACCACATTCGAACATGTTGCTGCAGATGTCATCCATGAGAAGCATCTCGCAGCATTTGTGAGTTTCGGGAATGGAAGAAACATGGACGACGCGACAGAAAATGTCAAATTGTTGAGCAGAGATGATGGTATGGGAGAATTATTCTCTCAGTTATTGGCTAATTTGAGCCTCATTTTGCCTCAGCACATGATACCATCATACATCATACCAGTGGCATATATGCCTCACAATAGTGCCGGCAAACTTGATCGAAAACTACTTCAGCAGACAGTATCTCAGCTGTCTATAGATGAGCTGGCTCAATACCTGTCTGGTCAGCGAAAGACCTTCCGCGAGTGTTCCAATGAGACTGAGTTTTGGATTCGGTCACAATGGGCGCATGTGTTGAATCTTCCCGCAGAATCGATCAGTGTCGACGATAATTTCTACCATCTAGGTGGTGATTCCATTCGTATCGTCACCCTTGCCAAAGCCATTCTTAACGAGTATGAAGTTACTTTAGGCCTTTCTATTCTAAACAGCAAGCATACAACAGTAAGCAGCATGGCCAAGTTTGTCGAAAATGCCCGCGAAAATGCCACTGAGGATAGGCCAACCGTGGATCTCATGGAAAAGATACAATCGATTATCAAAGGAATCTCGGCTAATACATCGAACAATTTGGCTAAACACCCGATTGTGAAGCCATCTCAGAAATCGACCGTCTTTCTTACAGGCGCCACAGGATTCTTGGGAACGGAACTTCTCCGACAGCTGTTGCGCAATACCTCAATCAAATCCGTCATAGCACTTGTTCGGTGCAATTCACCACAGCATGGACTGGAGCGAATCAGAGCAACGGCTCAGGCAGCTGGATGGTGGAATAAGCACGACGCGACGAAGATCGAGGTTTGGGTCGGCGACCTGAGTAAACACCAGCTAGGACTAAACGCATCTCAATGGGAGCGACTTTCGGGAATATCTAGGCACCACGGCAATATCGACGCCATTGTCCACAACGGCGCCGTGGTCAACTGGAATGCGGATTACGATAAGCTTGTGGCGCCAAATGTCAGCTCGACTATTGATCTGCTAAATGCTGCTGCTTCGTCCCCGATTCATCCCCGGTTTGTCTTTGTTTCCGGAGGGCTGAAAACAGATCCGGGGGAGAAACCAGCGGAAGTGGCTAAAAGGCTCAGTGGGCTGAACGGATATGTCCAAACCAAGTTTGTGTGCGAAGGCGTCATTCAAGATGTTGTAAAAAGCTTGCCGAAAGAGCAAAACAGGCTATCCATAGTCAAGCCCGGTCGGATCATTGGTTCAGAAAGTAACGGAGTCGCCAATGTCGATGACTTGATTTGGCGCGTCGTTTCAGGAGCTGCCGCAATACATGCTTACCCGGTAGAGCCCTCGGAAAATTGGATGTACATTGCGGATGTTGGCAGTGTTGCTTCCACGGTTCTGAGTCAAGTCTTTCACGAGAATGCCCTTAACTCTTTTGTCCATGTGACTGGCGGAATGCCAACACCAGTGTTCTGGGAATTGGTCAATGAAGAGTTGAAAGTCAAGTGCAAACCTGTGCCATGGGCTGAATGGAAACAGTTGGCACACACTTCCATGGCTACAGTTGGAGACAAGCACCCTCTTTGGCCAGTTCAACACTTTCTGGGTGCTCTCGGTGCTCCAAGATCAGAAAAGGAACTGACTACCGAGTCTAGAGAGCACAAGCAATGGCATAAGGCGGTCAAGAAGAATGTGCAATATTTGATGGAGATTGGGTTTATTGCATTGTCTGTGGAGGAGCTAGGAATTGTGAAGGATGGTGCCATTAAGCGGTTACATTAGATATGGATCCATGATTCATGTCTTTTACATACTCTGTGTCTTTTCGTTTTTTTGCATGTTATTGTTATTTCTCTTCTTATCACAGTTATTGGGCGTTTATTTTTGTCTCTCTTGTTATTGAGCTTTACAATCGTCTACAACCTTAGAACTGCTTGTGTCTGGGCTTTATGTATCACATTTGTTCAAGCGCTTACGTGATCCGCTACAACAGGCGCTGCAACGCCTGAAACATCTTCCGTAGTATAGTGGTCAGTATGCAAGCTTGTCACGCTTGAGACCCGGGTTCAATTCCCGGCGGGAGAGATCCGCCAGACTTCCAAGAGGTCGCCCTTCTTTTTTTCTTTTTTCTTTTTCTTTTTTCTGAATGTACTTTTGGTACCTTTTTTTAGGGCTAATTGTTTAAGTTGCCACTTCTCCTCGGCACGGAGCTGTCATGTCGATAACTCCGCGTGACGGCCTCGTGGCAGCGGACAGCGACGGAGTTGATGCCGGCAGCTTGACTCGAAAACTTGCCCAATTCGGTAATTTTCCCAACTAGATGAATCGAAATACAGTGGCTGACATTTGGACGGCCATGTGGCTAGTGGTCTCTTTAGAATATGTTAGTCTTATGCTTCTTGTTGCATTGCCACCACGATTGGAGGAAAGGTTTGTTGATGGGGTGATTCGAGAAGGATGTCTCGTCTCTTGATGCGTTGTTCTGGAAATAGTTTGTCATCGCTCGTTTAAAGTGTTGTGCAAGCCAATTGACAAACAAAATCGGGTACAAACTGCACGAATGCCCTCAAGTAACGAAGAAAGGTTGAACGCTTAAAAGGAGAAGCAGCAACGACTTACCAGCTGGCTCAAAGACGGCGGCTGACCTTGTCAATCGTGGCTGAATCCGATATTTGGGGATCGATACGCGGAGTTGTGCTTCGGTAGCTATGTAATCAGGTAATAAAACGGACGCGGACGGCAAAGCGGGCAGAGACGGGGTGAGATCTCACCCGAGAAGTCTCAACCTCACCTCAACTCTAGCTCATAAGCAACTCTGAGCCATATAGTTGCCGAGATAATATGCCTTCCGACATCCCTCGTTTAAAAGCCTGGCTGGCAGATGGCTGATACCAGTGGCTTGCTCGGTCTATGAGACAAGGCGCACCGAAACATTCTCTCAGCGAGTTAGCTTCATGCGCAGACTCACTGTGGCCCCTCAGCTTCAGCCACATCAACTTCCAAGAGCTCGGAACTTGGGATTTTGTCAGCGAGCATGAGAAGCCAGTTATGTAATTCCTCTTAGCCGGCGGAGATGAGAACTTCGGAACTCAGCCAAGCGTGGCTTGTTCCAGACCAGCAGCGACTGGCGCCTCGCCAACTCTTGCTCTTGTCGTTTCGGTCTGGGACGCCCTCTTCACTAGTTGAAGTATAGTCGACTTGGTCGATTATCAACACGAGTGTGCTTGGCGATGTCACCGAGACTCAAAATTCTTCAGCTTCATCCAAGATGGCCAAGCGTGGAAATAGAGTTTCATCCAAAACCGACTTGCCACACTTCATACCAATGCAGTGGTTTGGGTTTGGGCTCAAGAACGATGCAGTGAAATATAATAGCAAATGGTAAGGGCGTCGCGTGAGGCCGTTGTCGCAGCCTCTCTTTCGTCTCCAACACTCGAAATAACGACGCCATACCATCTATCAAAATGCGTCATGCACGGCGACAGTAACCACGCAATAACAAGCAGTATCTTCTCATGATCACGCTCATGTTTGGATTGGTCGGCATCACTGCGTCGCCTTGTTAAGATGGCGCCTGTAATACGACCGCGCAGCTTCGGCACTGGCGTCGAGGGCATCGACTGGACTGACTTGACCATCATCATTGTCTTCCTCTCGCTGGCCCTGTACAATGTTCTCGAGCTCCTTTGCATCATTTGGGGCACCTTCAAGCGATATGCCGGGCTGTACTTCTGGTCCTTCCTGATGGCGACGGTCGGAATCGCGTTGTCCTGCATTGGGTTTTGCATCAAATACTTTGGACCTGTGTCACTCGGTTACTTGTCATGCACACTCAGTTTGATGGGATGGGTGTTTATGGTGACGGGCCAATCATTGGTTCTCTGGTCTCGATTGCATTTGGTGCTGAGGAACCAGAAACGCCTGAAAATAATCCTATACATCATCATCATCAATGGAATCGTCTGCCACGGCATGGTCATCCCGCTGGTATACGGATCTTTCTCCTCCAACCCAGAAATCTTCCAGACGCCGTACAAAATTACCGAAAGGATCGAAATCATCGTCTTTTTCTTGCAGGAGATGATGCTGTCTAGCTTCTACATTTTTGAAACAATCAAGCTGTTGCGGATGGGAGGCAGCCTTGGAAACAGGCAATCGAGTCGTCGCTTACTTAAGAATCTCATCCTCGTCAACGTCCTCGTCATGGTCCTCGATATTACAATTGTGGTCCTCGAATTTGCGAATCTCTACGACTTCCAGATATCATATAAACCGTTCGCCTATAGCATCAAGCTGAAGCTCGAATTCACCGTTCTGAATCGCCTTGTTGAGCTGACAAGTGGAGGAAGGCCGATGAACTCAAATGGTCAAAGCGCATCATCTAGTGGTCGCAGCAATAGCACTGGTTCAGCCATCTTGGAGTCCATTGGCGGTGGCTCATATCACGCGTATGCCAAAGGCGGATGCACCGACAACTTGCACAAGCCAACGCCGTCAGAAGTCGAGAATGGGAACAGGGTCATGATGACGACGGCCATCACTGTTCACTGAGAGAAGATATCTCACGACGTTGATAGCCGATATAAGAAGTCCTCGGAGGACTCGGAGGACTCGGCAAGTGGCACATCTAAGGAGTCGAGTGAGGATAGCGAGGAGAAGTCATCATCTCAAATCGATCTAGCGACGAACAGCGGCTTATAGAAAAACTAACGGCCTTTATTGTCGGATTACTGTACGGAGTATGGATGTGTAAATGGAAATGGTATATAGTATTGTATATAATTTGCACGCAAAGCAGAGGCGAACGACGTGCTCGTCATTTGCGAAGTGCACTTCTAGCGGTATTGGAAGACGAAATAATCACTTCCTTTGTGGATATTATATTACGTTTCTTTTCTTGGTGTTTTCATGGCCTGTCGCCAATAATCCTTAGGACTCCAGTTGGGCTAATTCGGCTATTCCACCCCAGTGACAACGTCGTAGTCCGAATATCACAGCCGAAGAGATCCATGATACCTGCTGCTATCGCTACTTCTTCCATGCTAGCATCTGATGTTAGGAAAATGATATGCTGACCAAACTGAAACTAACATGGGCATAGACAGGAATCCTGGCCCAATCATGCGACAACTCATGTCAAAGGATCAGCAAGTGGGTGGGACTTTTCTTCCATGGCCGCTTAGACTTAAGCTTGTAACCGACGGAGCCCCGTTCCTATTGGTGAGATTTTACGAAACTCATAGCCGTGCAACCTGACAGCGCTTAGTTTGACGGTTGTCACTGGGCAGCCAACAGACACGATGTCATTCCTAGCAACTGTTCTTCACTTGCGCACAAATTGTGAGACCAATTCTTCTGAAGTCTACAATTTGAAGAAAAAAGGAAATTCCATTGGGATTTTGTGACAAGATTCCTTTTGGTATCGGGCTGATGCTGGCCAGAGTCGCGCTCCCTGTAACTCTTCAATTTCACCCTGGGCTTATGCCTGCCTCTCTCCCTGCATTAGCTCGAATCCTTCCAGTGCAAAGACTACAAAAACAAGATGTTGCAAGGCAGTTTGATGCTATTTCCAGTGTGTCCTAGCCTGATTGTCGTTTCACGCACAATGATGTATAGGTAGGATTGCTAATCGGATGTCTCGATATTTGATCTGCCATGATGGCCGGCGCTTAGGCTTCTGTTTCTCTACTCCTTAATGTTTTCTTCGCGGGTGTCATTTGGCTGGATAGGCGCATTTCACTATGAAGACGCTCATTTTCCTCGGCACATTCGTACAGCTGCTGGTCCCCTGCTCGGCAGCTCTCAAACAATGCTACTACCCTAACGGAAGCCCGTCAAGCGATTTCCCATGTGACCCCAACGCGAAACAAAGTGCGTGCTGCGGCGGAGGACTTGGAGCTGCATGCCTCTCCAACAAGCTGTGCCAATCGAACGATGGGAATATTATTCGGGGTTCTTGTAGCGACAAGAACTGGAACTCTCCCGAGTGCGCCAACTTCTGCCTTAGTATGACATCAACTCTTTGCTCCCCCTTTACAGCTTAGTCTGTTCATCTGGGTAGTTTGGCAATCCGGTAGATGATTGTGTCTAACATGAATGCGATTGAATAGGTGCGGACACTGGAGGAACCGATCTAATATCCTGCTCCAACGTCACCAACACAGACACATCGTACTGTTGTGATCATACAAACGGTTGCTGCAATAGCGGCGCCGGCCGATTCAACGTTTTGCCAAAAAATCCACAAGTATGGGCGACATGGGATAATGGAGCGACCGTATACAAGGTTGTCGGTACCGTGTTCACCGGCACTCCATCAACTACATCAAGAGCACCTACAAGAGCAACAGCCACAGCAACTACAACAAGCGCTGCCCCGACAAACTCAAGCCCGAGCCAGAGCGACCAATCTTCCGGGCTGTCTAGCGGAGCAAAAGCCGGCATTGGTGTCGGTGTTGCAGTTGGAGTAATACTCATTGCGGTGGTTGCATTTTCGCTCTGGAAACTTCGGCAGAGGAAAGCATCTGCCGGCAATGCAGCTCAGAGACCAGTGCAAAAACTAGATAGCCAGCAAAAGACAATGGCTGAGCTGGATGCTCGAGGGAAGCTGAATCAAGAGCTTCGACCACCGGCAGAGTTAGCAGGGTGACGAAGTTCTTCTTGAACATTAATATCGCGTATATATCTAGACTGAATTAATAATTTTTTAGCGATGCCAAACAGTATTTGGCAATTATGTTTACACGATATTTCATGCATACTGAAGTAAGGAGAACAGCATCATCTATCCAGGCGGTTTAACGATCTGCTATTATCGCCATATTGCTTTCTTCTGGGATCTGAGAATATATGTACCTTACAGTTAGAAGACAGACTTACATCCTCTACCTACCTGATGTGGTATGTATAAAGTGGCGATGAATTATCGGTGTCTGATAGCTCCTAAGACGCGTTTGCTATAAAGTAATTTTGGGCGTTAGATACTGAATAACCATTTTTTAATGTGGTTTGTTAATTACTATCGCTGTAATATGCGAAAGCATTTGTAACCATCAGCGGTTGAAGAGAAAACGCAACCAAGAGCTGAAGGAGATCGAGCTAAACAACCGGGAGCAAGGCGAAAACCCTCTCGGATCTACAGGCACCAATAGCTCGTGAACAGCCACAAGTATTTGATCCGGGGAGGTGGAAGCGCCGAGACCTTACACACCTATTCTAACACCTCCATAGGATGGAGTGTGCCATCCAGAAAAATTTGCCGCCATGGCGTTTAGATTCAGTAGGCGAGGATGGGCGTAGGCAACAGCTTCAACGGTAGTCTCGGAAATGTTTTATGCATATATAGCCCAGGTAGATAACGCCATTGGGTTATTTTATTCTCCGTCGAGAATTAGGTACCGGCTAAATACTCATCGAAATGGTGTGAATCTCGATGCATATGGTTGGACGATGGACCGATGCTTTTATAGTAGCGGTAGTATTCTGCTACGCTTACTTTTCTACGAATTTGTTTCGATTCACCATATGCTAGGAATAGCACTCTATGACGGGTCATCGGCATTATAGCTACTATTGTATCAAGCAATTGTATAATAAATTAAGGTTAGTTTTCCGAGTGAGCCGCTGCATCTCGGGCGGCAATCTGGGGAGCATATTAGCAATAGATGAGAAATCCCCAACTCCCGCAGGTCACTACCCAATGGCGTTAGCTTTCCGAGGCAATTTCCTCTTCCGCCCATCTACAGCATATCGAAAGAAGTAAACCATCGAGTGCTGATTGGCGCTTAGTAAGTAACGGGTGTTACGACACCGTATCAATGAGAGCATCATAAACCTAATGACCAATATAATCTAACTTGTTAACTATGATTCGAGTTGGTTTGGACAATTGATTTCATGACAGGTGTTATATGACCTTGTAAAGATTACACGGTTGATACCTGCCATAAAAATGCGTATTACATGGCTGAATAGTTTGATTCGTTTTGGATCATCATCGGTACAACGTGACCCAAACAAGACTTAATTATAAATGATTAATTTGACAGACACAATTCCTTACATGCTGATCATAGCTTGCATGGCAACAACCCCACGAACTAGAGCTGCACCTCAACTACTTCCGACCAAGATATCTCCACTTATTCAGTAGAGATCCCGTATTCGACGTATGATCTAGCTTCAAGGGGTTGAAGAAAAGAAACCCGGATAGATGCGGTAGTTGATGAATGGAAAGAAGTGATTCATGTTGTGGGCTCCGATTTCGCTCGGGTTATCTATAAGATGTATGCCTCCAGGCATTCTCTCTGCATCATTTTGCACCAAACAATTACTGCTATAACATTCTTCCGACAATTTTATTCGAACCAGATTTGTAAGAGTAGTTACTATGGAGTATCATCCTGAAACCTCTGCCCTACATGCCGACGACGAGTTGGATGTGACCAATGATGTGGCACCTCCTCTCCATGTGGCAAGCACTTTTCGGTTTCCCTCAGATCCTGCGCAACTCGTTCCATTGAGGCATCGAAATGTAAGTTGTAAATACATCAAAATTCCTCTATATACCGAAGACTGACTGAAAGATTACTCATAGGCAGAAGACAAAAGCCACGTTTACGCTCGTCTGACAAATCCCAACACAACCAGATTCGAAACACTACTTACGTCTCTTCTTAAGGCGCCCTCATTGACATATACATCCGGACTGGCAGCTTTATTAGGCGTATTGTTTTGTCTTAAGCCTCGTCAGATATCCATTGGCAAAGGATATCCTGGATGCCATGGAACAATCGCGCTCGTCAGTGGCCTAAATGGAATGAAGAAGCTGCCTCTGGATTGCGCAGCAGAAGACCTTCAGACAGGAGATGTCATCTTCCTGGAGACTCCTGTCAATCCTACTAGTGTCGCTATGAATATCCAGGATTTTGCTAATAAGGCACACTCGAGGGGAGCCATCCTAGTCGTGGATGCCACGTTTGGCCCTCCAGGACTTCAAGACCCATTCCTGCATGGTGCCGACATTGTACTTCACTCCGGGACCAAATATCTTGGAGGACATAGCGACATGCTCTGTGGTGTCGTTGCAACAAATAATCGAGAGTGGTATACGCAGTTGAAGAAAGAGCGGTTCTTCTTGGGCGGCGTGATGGGCAGTCTTGAAGGCTGGCTTGGCGTTCGCAGCATGAGAACTCTTCATCTTCGAGTTGTACGACAGAGCGAAACGACTACAAAATTGGTTAAATGGCTCAGCACATATCTCAAGGCTGATGAAACTAGTGGGGTGCAAGAAAAATCGGAATCACAAATTATCAAGGCCACTCTCGCCAGCATCACCCACGCATCTCTTCAGGCGGCTGACCTGGAGCAAGGGTGGCTCAAGTCTCAAATGCCTAACGGCTTTGGACCCGTCTTCTCTATATGCCTAAAATCTCGAAATATGGCCAATAGATTTCCAAGCAAGTTGAAGTTATTCTCTCATTCAACTAGTCTTGGAGGAGTTGAGAGCCTCATTGAGTGGAGGACAATGACAGATCCTGAAGCCGATCCTACGCTTCTTCGTATTAGCATTGGAGTAGAACACTGGGAGGATCTTAAGGCTGACATATTACAAGCTTTGAAGGCTGTCTTACAAGAGGAAAAGGAATAATGGATAACGGCGATATTCTCTTTCTTGTAACTGTTGCTATGTTGCAGTTGAACCGAAACAAGATTTTCTTGCAATGTGACAGATGTGATGCTTGATATTACTATAAAAATTCTACAAAACATATTATCTTTGATGCTACATTGCAAAACAAAACATATTATCTTTGATGCTACATTGCAAAACAAAAAATATCTATTTTTGATGGGCTTCTATCTAAGCTTCTTAGGTAACTATAGTTACTACATGTAAGCTTTGCTATATGAGAGTTACACCAAGTAGTCGAGTTGTTCATCAAATAGCACCATTGAGCTACTCCTGATAAGTAAGCAGCAACTTTGACGTCTCAGTTGACAGTAACAGTCGTGGGCTTGGAAACATATGTATCCGCCAACGAATGCTGCTCGTTCAAGCTTGCATCCACCAACTTCGGGGCAGCAAAGATGACGGAGCTTCCCATAACTGGGGCATATTTCTTGACTGCTACTGGACGGAGTCCAGCACGGTCAAGAATAGAATCCCACTGTGACGCAGTCCGCTCGGAAGATCCAAATAATGTGTACATCTGGAGATCAAGACCTGCAGGCCAAACATGAGATCCCTGATCGGCAATGACAACCTCATCGATTAGCACCAGTGAATCAGCCGACATGGACGGGACAATGTTAGACAGGATCTGAGCCGCCTTATCGTCATCCCAGTTGTGGAGAATGGCTCGCAGGTAATAGTACTTGGCTCCTTTAACCATAGTTAGTCGCTTATCCAAGTTAACACACTCGAGACATAAGACTTACCCTTGACGGGCTGTGTGTTGAAGAAGTCATGTGCCATCAGCTGGAATCCCTTGACGTCCGAGGCATTCTTGATAGTCTCCTCACGGTCCTGAACCACCACTCGACCAGCCAGTTTAGGATACTTGGCCAGTAAATGCTTTGCTTGGTGGCCAGTGTTACCGCCAATATCCACGAATACCGGACCTTCGTGATCGCTGATCACAGTAGATTCGAGCGGAATCACATCGAGACAGTTACCTTCTTTGGGGATACCCATAAGGCTTTGGAAGTCCTTCAACAGGTCTGGGTGCTGCTTCAACCAAGGAAAGAGGCCCAGTTCCGTATTGAGGCCTTTTTGAAGAGCAGAAGCCTGTGATCGGTTTTGGTATCCCGTCTCCTTCAGGAAGTCGGGCAGCGCTTGGAAGGCAGGGCTGCTGACTGCATGGAAGAAGCGCATGGGGCTCTCGATTCGAGGATCTGCCAAAGCGTACGTCATCTTCCTGGCTACATATTGGTCCGGAGCAGTCTCTGCAGCAAGGCGATTAGCAACCAAGTAGCGCATGATGCGGCCAACAAGAGTCGGGTCAGCCATGGTGGGCTTGGCCAGCTCCTCGGAAGACAAAGGCGTCTTGCTCTCCGCTAGAGACTTGAAGACTCCAAGATCACCACCAATCTTAATAAGTGCAATTTGCCGACCCTGTTTGAGGAACATCATTAGTAACACGTCGATGACAAGTAATATTGTTTTTCTCTATGTACTTACAGCATTGAGGAAGCGCAGCATACTGTCGTAAGGAGTTTCAAGTTCCTCTGCAGATTCTTGCAACGACGCAATCAAGCGGTGCCTGTTGGATTCGTCAAGGGATGCTGGCGGAATACTCTTTTCGGAAGCCACGAGGCCTGCCACGAGACTTGCAACTGACTGATCTTCATTTTTGCTGTTCCCATTCAAAGGCTTGTCCCCGTTAGTGGCATTATCGCTGTGAGCCTCGCTGCTCCCATTCGTCTCAACATGACCATTTTGCAATGCCTTCTTTACAGTCTTCGATTCGCCATTGAGGAATGAAAGTGGGTCATGACGTGTGAAGCTGACTTCTGCTTTCTTAGCCACGGTCAATCCTAGTTGACCGTGCTCAAGGCGTGGGGCTAGACCATCAATAGAATCAAGAGTGAAGTTGTCAATGTTGAGCGAATCCTCCGGGCGGACCATGCGACGTCCCTTGAGTGTCTTGAGAATAGACTGCTCTTCAGGTGTCAGCTTCTTCTCAAGTTCATCGAGAGCCTTGCGGTTGCTCTCATCGTAAGCATCGCCATCGAGGCCGAGTTCCTTGAGCTTCTTCACCAAGGCTTCCTTCTCCTCGAAGGAGACATGGGCAAATGCTTTGAAGCAGAATTCTACAGTCTTGGAAATTTCGGCCTGGGTCAGCTTTCCTCTGGCGTCTGCATCAACTTGACCTTGGATAACTGTAATAGAGAATGTTAGAATGCTCAGGCGGCGTAGAAGAATAATATGGAATTGACATACTGGGTCTAAAGAGATCAAATGCTCTTTCAAAGGTCTCCTCATCGAAGTCATTGATAACAGGCTCGTCTTGAGACCTGATCTGCTTCAATGCACTCGAGACTACCACGAGGAAGCGAGTGTAGCTCTCGGCTGTCTTCTTATCGTGCCACGATGAGGCAACTTCCTCACTGCAATCTCCTCGAATGGCCGCAGCGATTGTTGTAGCTGCCGACAGACCGCCTGAAAGAGCCAGGTGTACGCCCGAGGAGAAAAAAGGGTCAATGAAAGAACCAGCATCTCCGGCGATACGAACACCCGGGAATGCATATTTCGAGGCACTGTAGGACCAGTCAGACGCTGACTTGATGTCCGAAACGAGTTCGGCGTTGGCAAGTAGTTCTTTGATGCCGGGAACGAGGTCCAGAGATTCAACGTAGAAGCCTTTGGAAGATGGCTCAGCCATTTTTCGCTTCTTCTTGGCGGCCATTTCCTGGTTTTGAACAACTCCAACTGAGTGGCGGCCATTGTGGAGAGGGATGAACCAAACCCACCCACTACCGTCTAAGGAATAGTAAAGATTTGTGTTAGTAAATCATCTCTAAGATTGTAACAGAGAGTTCAAATGACCGGAGCATACCTTTGAGTGCTTCGAAGTACGGTGCGCCCTCTTTGTGCGTTCCAACACCATGAACTCCGCCATTCTTCCAATAGCCCCAGCTAGCAACATTCTTGAGGCCCTGGTTATATGATCGATTCTTCAGATACTTGGTGCTGATCAAACCTGCTCGTCCTGACGCATCTACGACGTAGTCAAATGAAACTGTGCCAGAGCTGCCATCTTTGCGAGTCCAAGTGGCGGATACGGGGCGACCCAGGCTCTGAGAGTCAAAAGTAGCTGGAGCAAACTCAATGGAGGCTACCTTGGTTTCGTCAAATGTCTTGACGCCGCACTCCGCTGCATGCTTGAACAGCAACTCGTCTGCCTCGGATCGAACAACGTTCCAGGCGTAGCCTCCAGGTCCGCCGGCTGCGATGAAGTCCGTGTCTGGGATAAGAGAGTTTGTTTAGTCAATGGTTTATTACTTATTGTGGCTAAGGAAGTAATGATCGCCAATGGCTTTTGGGGACTTACATGTTTCTGGTCGAGTCCAATTGAGACGGAAAGCACCGCCTTTCTGTTCTGGGCGTCAGCCAACATTTCTCTCTTTCCTTCTCTTCGTATATTCTGTTCTACGGTTAGATAGCGCAGTGGAAAATGAATACCTTGATATTAAACCCATGGGCATCCCACTTTTCGTAGGCATCGATAAATTTGAGAAAGTGTCGCATAGAGGGAAGCATGCTTTCGCCAATGTGATATCTGATATATGCGTGAGATAATCCCTGGTTCAAGTGCTATCTAGTGATACCTACCTCGGGAATTTTTCTGCCTCAAGGAGGACTACTTCGATGCCCTCTCGAGCAAGAGCCGAAGCAGCATAAGAGCCTGCTGGTCCGCCACCAATTACCAGCACCGTGCACTGTTCCGGAATGGTGGCCATTTTTGTAAATGTTCAAGAAGTTGAAGAAATAAGATATTCTATGTGTTTAGTTGAAATCAAAGCAATGGCTGTCTATTCTGCGCTGGTGTTTGTTGTTGAGTGTGAACGTGAATGAACGGATAATGGAAGCATATATACTGCTCTCATTCAAGCAATGGAGATTGCAGTCGAATGTGGAACATCGTCTACATGTTGCCTTCATGATTGATGCTGTACAGGATTCAGTCAGGATGCTGACATGCTGTAAATTCTGGTGGCTTTGGCGTTTGTCTCAACATCCTACAAATCAATCCCACATCCTGTCGGAAGGATTTCGGGACGTTGTTTTTTGAGCCGCCTAGCAACAGCCTTGCTTATTCTCGGAATCCGACCTCCATCTTTTACGCTGGACGACCTCAACAGTTACGCGACGGCGGTAAAATCTGACACGGCAGTTGTTAGGTTTCCTGATTACCATCCAATACAGAGATAGGGCGGTAACACTGGGCGTCAAGCCTCATTCGAATTGCAACACGCCTGAAACGATGTAGTTGTCAGGATCAAGTAGGGCTGCCAGTAGTTTAGACCGCTCTGCTCGAATTTAGTGACATGCCAGCCAATAGAACCCTCACACACACGCGCCAATTACTTTGTGATTAACCTACATGTTGTTATTGCGTAGTTACTATAATGAGGAATCATCGATAGACGTATGGATCCGAACTTAAGAGGATTTTATTAGGAAGGATTAAGATATCCTTGGCATGGTCTGGGGGAGCACCAATGCTGATCACTCACACCGCTACCCTGGATTATTTTGGTCTTCACGTTCAAAGTCTATAACCTTTTCTCAGCGGTGCACACATCTCTGTATGCATTAACGATATGTCTCATAATTCTTTCTTACTCACTTTCTGAATCGGTAGTCGCTGTTCGCTACTACCATCTCGATGCCTTCAACCACCAAACCCAAGGGATTTTACTCGTCCGGCTTCTGGACAGAGTATCTCACAACACAGCGAAACAAATTGCCTGAGCTGTCCGAAGTTGATGATGATATATCTGATTGTATCGTGCGATTTCTCGGCGGTAATCCAGGAGACATGCAGCTTCAGGGAACCAACACCTATCTCGTTGGTACTGGAAATACTAGAATACTCATTGACACTGGAGAGGTAAGTCATTTACTTCTTCCTCGAGCGTTATTACCATGTCGCCGCTTATCAGACAATCTGCATTTTAACTCTCCTTCACTCAGTTACTCAGTTATCTACTATTTTCACGCATAAATCAAGCGTATTATTTCTATTAAATAGAATCTACTAAGCTAACAACAAATATTGACAGGGACTTCCTCAATGGGCCGTGAATTTGACCAGATACCTCGAGGATCATGACATATCAATTTCTCATGTTCTTCTAACGCACTGGCATGGTGATCATACCGGAGGTGTTGCGGATCTTCTTGCCCATGATCCTACCATAGTGGTCTACAAGAACCAGCCGAATAAAGGTCAACAGGCCATCAAAAATGGTCAGATCTTCCAAACTGAGGGCGCGACTCTACGAGCAGTGTTGACGCCTGGACATACCACTGATCACACTTGCTTCGTACTGGAAGAAGAAAATGCATTGTTTACGGGAGACAACGTATTAGGCCACGGTTACAGTGTAGCTGAGTGCCTGGGAGACTACACGACCAGTCTTCGCTTCATGGCAGGCTTGAGATGCTCTGTTGGCTATCCTGGCCATGGAACAGTGATACGTGACCTACCGCGTAAAATGGCAACTTATATCACGCAGAGGGACTCTAGAGAGCAACAGGTCTACGCAGCATTAATTCAGCAGGCCTCGTCTAGTGGCCAAGACAGTGGTAGAAGTAACAGTAGTAGTAGTGGAAGCGACTCTGGTAGTGGCGATGATGAAGATGACAGTGAGATGGGCCTATCGACATCTGACATAGGTCTCCGTTTATACGGAGAAGTCTCTAAGGACGCTGCAACATTTGAATCAGCTCTAAAGCCTCTTTTGAACCAGGTGCTGTTCATGTTGGCAGAGAGCGGCAAAGTTAGCTCAAAGTTAGTAGGACCAGATAAGACTCGACACTGGTTTGCAAAGGGTGTAACCTATTAGATAACTTATTGATACTTCTTCTTCATTGTCTAATCTCAAACTGAGTAAATAGTAGTCTGTGAAACTATCAAAACGGCCATAACAGAAAGGGGAGAGGTGAACTCGTCTCTGAAAACTCGCCCATTTCACGCCCACAGAGGTAACTGTCGACGGATTCCCGTAGGACCCGAGAGAAAACAGGACAATGCACCGAGTCGGATTCCGAGCTTTCGATTATAGTCTCTCTTGACAGCAGTGTAACAGAGTGAGATGTGAGTCTGAATTGGGCAAGCCGCTTTTGGCTTCAAGTGGTCGCCTCGGCTGACGTTTCGAACACAAGGCAATCCTATGTAGGAATCATTAGCACACGGCTTTGAACCTCCTATGTATTATACATATCAAAAGATGAGGCGAAATTGAGGTTCATGTGTTAGATCACTGAAGAAATTGGGATTTAATAGTCCATCCCGTCCCTCTTCAGATCTGGGACTGGTCACCCATCTCCATCTCCTTGTCATAGAAATTTCATTTTTCATACATATTTCCTTTGTGTTCAAGCTTCTTTGAACGGTCTATTTACTTCAAAATACTCTTGCATTGACTCTGCATTTGATGCATACACACGGTTGACGCCGACTCCTTGACCATGAATGAAAACGCCAACACTCCCTCCGGAGCCACTTCGCCCCACGTCGAGCCTTTAGACGTCAACATCGACGCTGATACAATTACCAAGTTCATATTATTTAGTCACGAGTTTCCGAGCGGTGATGTCAAAGACTTATTACGCAGACTCCACAGATATGCTAAGTTGCCTCGGTATTCTCAGCTTGCTCGCTTCTTGCAGGAGTGCGCTTCGGTCTTGAAACAAGAAGTCCAGAAGCTACCACGGCCTCTGCGTGACCAAGTTCCGCCATTTTTTGATGTCGTTACCCTGGCTTCTCACTGGGAAAAGCTCAAATCTAGCTCTCTGTGTGGCACTTGGGAGGGTGCTTTCCTCTGCATCTATGAGATTGCGATGCTCATTGGGTGAGTCTTGCTAGTGATTTTCTCCTCTTCTTCCCTCACCTATGAACAACACTTTTATATCTCGTCTTATATAATAGATGAAACTAACAACTATCATTTAAATATTAGACACCATGAAAAAAATAACATTCCATACTCCTACGGAACAGAAGAGAACATCTCAGCAACTTGTTTGGCAGGCATCAGCGTCGGCCTCTTTCCAGCCGCAGCAGTAGCTGTATCTACTTCTCTCGTGGACCTTGTCTATTATGGAGTGGAGAGCGTTCGGATGGCCTTTGCGTTTTGTGTTCACGTGGGCCGTATTTCGCAGCTCCTTGAGCCAACAGATCGTAACGAATCAACGAAATCATCCGTTAGCTGGGCCTCTGTGGTAATAGGTGTTCCAGCTGAAGTAGTTCAGTCGGAATTGGATCGCTTCAACGGCCAACAAGAGATTAACGATATTGGATTGAAGACAGTACCTCTGACTAAGGTCAGCATCAGTCATGTTGATCAAGCCTCGGTTGGTGTCACCGGCCCTCCAGCTCGTCTCGAGAAGCTCTTCTCCCAGTCTGAGATACTTGGCTCATCTCGTCACTCACCACTGCCAATTTCTGGTGGTCTTTGCCATGTATCCAATGTGTACGACCTCGATGATGTCCGTTCTATCCTTGAGACAGCGAAAGTGTGGGAGAGATGGGGCTCCCGTTCTGTCCAGTTACCACTGCTCTCGCCTTACACAGGAGGCCCATTTATGGCATCAGATGCATATCATTTGATTGAAGCCATCTGCACCGAAGCTCTAACTAAGCCGTTGTATTTTGACAAGATCGCCGACGGTGCGGTGGCGCAGCTTTCGCATAACCCAGAACTGGCCATGTCGACATGCCAAATTCTCCATTACAGAACGTCACTCATTTCAGACACAGTCATATGTGATGTCGCAGATAAACTGCCATCTGTGAATATTCAGCAGGGCGATCTGGTGGATTGGGCCGTGCAAGACGAACACACATTTGATCAGCCTCATGGCATCTCAAGCACCCCACAAAATTCCAAGCTGGCCATTGTTGGTATGGCATGCCGCATGCCAGGCGGAGCTGATAGCCCCGAGGAATTCTGGGAACTTTTAGTGAACGGTGTTGATACTCACACCATTGTTCCCCCGGATAGATTCGATGTTGAAGCGCATTTTGATCCCACTGATGAGATGGAAAACAGCATTGGGACAAAATTTGGAAACTTCATAGCTAATCCTGGACATTTTGATGCTGGATTCTTCAACATGTCCCCGCGCGAGGTAAGATACACTCCAACCTTTGAACTTGGATGCTTGACCGTCTAACAATAAAACCATTACAACAGGCTGAACAAACAGACCCGATGCAACGTCTAGCACTTGTTACGGCATATGAAGCGCTAGAGATGTCTGGCTTCGTGCCGAATCGGACACCTTCATCTCATGTGTCACGGGTGGGAACCTACTACGGCCAGGCTAGCGATGACTATCGTGAGGTAAATGCAAGTCAGAAGATTGGCACATATGGGATTCCTGGTACAGAACGAGGTTTTGGGAATGGTCGCATCAACTATTTCTTCAAATTCCAGGGACCGAGTTTCAACATCGACACGGCATGCTCTAGCGGCTTAGCTGCTGTTCATGCGGCCTGCTCGGCACTGTGGGCTGGTGATGCGGATACGGCTATCGCTGGAGGTCTGAATGTTATTGTGAGTTATAAGATGGAATCTAAGATATGAAGGGTTGGTGCTGACCTGAGAAAAGACAAATCCGGATATTTATTGCATGCTGAACAAGGGGCATTTCTTGTCCAAGACAGGCCAGTGTAAGGTGTGGGATGCCGCAGCTGATGGATACTGCCGTGGAGACGGAGTCGGCTCAGTGGTCATCAAACGGCTCGACGATGCCCTTGCGGATAACGACAACATATTGGCGACTATCGTAGCTGGTGCTACGAATCACTCGGCAGAGAGCATTTCTATAACTCAGCCACACGCCGGTGCCCAGAAAGACAATTATCGTCAAGTAATGGACAGTGCGGGTGTCAATCCTCTGGACGTCAATTATGTCGAGCTGCACGGTACGGGAACCCAGGTTGGGGACGCTGTGGAATCAGAATCAGTGCTCGACTTCTTCGCGCCTTCAAATCGCCGTCGAAACTCCGAACAACGTCTGAATCTGGGCGCAGTTAAATCAAATATTGGCCATGGTGAAGCAGCTGCAGGAATTGCCTCGTTGATAAAGGTTTTGCTGATGTATCAGCACAACACGATTCCGCGTCATGTTGGCATCAAAACGACGATGAACCCAGTGGTGGTTCAGCATTTGACTAACCGAAATGCCGGTATCTTGTTAGAAAACAGTCCCTGGCTTCCAAAATCCAATGGCACAAAACGTTACTCTGTTGTAAACAGCTTCGGTGCTCATGGTGGAAACACAACGTTATTGCTCGAGGATGCACCATTGCCAAGTATCCAAGGAGACGACCATGACTCTTTCTCAGAACCAGAAACATGCCAAGTGGTTTGCATCTCAGCTAAAAGTAAAGCCTCGCTTCGAGGTAATATCAGCGCTTTGCTCCGTCATCTTGATGCTAACAAAGAGACAAAACTGAGGGACCTCTCCTATACAACATGTGCTAGGAGAATACACCATCACATCCGCATCGCTGCATCGGTTGCTAGTACTACTCAGCTTCACAAATTCTTGGAAGCTGCCGCTGGAAATGTCGATGCACACGCAAAACACGTCTCCACAGCCAAACAGAGAGCTATTGTGTTTGCCTTTTCCGGTCAAGGATGCTTTTACCAAGGTGCTGCCGAGAAACTGTTCCAACATGCGCCCTTGTTTCGCGACCAGGTCCTCCAGCTAGACAGAGTTGTGTGCCGATTGGGATTTCCTTCTGTACTGGCTGTTATCATCGGTAATGCAGCGAACCTTATTGATGTTGGCCATTCGAAGGACTCATCTAGTACGGGTAGCCAGACGGGTTATGAAACTCCGGCATCATCTGACGACTCCAGCATAATCTCTTCGACAGTGACCGTGGAGAGTCCACTTGTCGTTCAGCTCGCTTTAGTAGTCTTACAGATCGCCTTAGCGCAGTATTGGAGACTACTTGGCATCACGCCTGGAGCTGTTATCGGCCATAGCTTGGGAGAATATGCTGCATTCGCTACGGCCGGTGTCTTGTCTGTAGCAGATGCCCTGTATCTGGTAGGCAAGAGAGCCAAGCTTACGCTCGCCGCTTGCGAACCTGGCAGCCATGTCATGCTGTCTGTCCGTGGTGTCTCGACTGACCGTATCGCCGAACTGTGCCGAGAGAGTGAGAAAGAGCACCATTACGAAGTCTCGTGCATCAATGGGCTCACAGACATCGTCATCAGCGGCTCGCGAACGGACATGGTTGCGATGCGTGATATGCTGCAAGATGCTGGTCTCAAGTGTCTTCTGCTTGACATCCCTTTCGCTTTTCACTCTGCACAGCTGGAACCCATACTGGACTCATTTGAACATGAAGCTAAACGCGTCACATTCAAAGCTCCCACGATTCCGGTCATCTCTCCGCTACTCGGAAAGTGTGTCTCCGAGGGTGATATCATTAACGAGACCTATTTACGGCGTGCCACGCGTGAGCCTGTCAATTTTGTCACTGCGCTGGATGCTGCTAAGGCAGATGGTCTTATTGACGAAAAAGCTGTTTGGATTGATATAGGACCTCAGCCCGTCTGTACTTCTTTCGCACGCAATCACTATGAGAAGGGATCGACGCAGACTTTAGCATCCCTACGACAAGGAGATAATATGCTTTCTACCTTGACAGGAAGTCTGGCAACGCTGCACTGCTTAGGTCTGCCTGTTGCGTGGAATGAGTATTTTGCCTCGTATGAGAAATCTCTTCGCCTCGTTCACCTTGAGCCGTATCAATGGAATCAGAAGAACTACTGGCTCCAATATGAGGGCACATGGACACTGGACAAGGCGCACCCCGGGC